GTTCTCACGAATAATGTTTTTAAATTATACCTAATAAAATAATTAATATACCATTATGTATTGTTTAAATTAGCAATTTCATTCAAATTGACACTTAAAATGTCTACCAAAAACAATTGTTTTAATACATTTTTTAGATTTTATATTTTCAATATGAAATACTTATGAAGAATCTTGTATAACATTTTCAAAACTTAGAAACAAAAATAAGAGTTGTCATGAATTGTGCTTATGTATTTTTATACAGATATAAGAATAATTTTTTAGAATCGTGTATTGAATTTTAACGCAGTAAATAAATTTTAATCGACATTCATAGAAAAAAAACTAAAAAAGTTAAAAATTTCTTATTTCTAAAAATAACTCAAATATATTTTAAAAATGTATCATAAAATAAAAAACGATAACATAAACATTTGGTAAAAATTTCAAGTATTTATATTTATCTGTTTTTGAATTACATAAAAAAAAAAAAAAATTGATTTTGTTGATAATTGGATTTATGTAAAAATGTGTGTTTTTCTCAATTTTTTGTTTATTTTTCCCGATTATTAAAATAAGTACTAAGGATTTTTAAGTTTGTCCTTTTTAAAGTACAAACTAAATCCAATTTCAAATACAAAACCTCCCTAATTTTTAAAAATCAAAGCATTTTATCGACAACTTATCGTGTACTCATGCACAAAAAAAAACACATCATGATAAAATCAATACATTGCTCCGCTCAGAATCTATAATGTCAATTTAACCAAATGTACAGTTTAAACATTAAAATAGGTTTATTGTGCTTGAAAAATCAATCTGTAAAAGGATTATAATCGATGACTAAAGGAGTCTCGGAAGGGTTATGAGATTGGAAGCATTTTTTTAATACATTTACGTCTATAATTTCTCATAAAAAATACTGTAATCTTGTTAAATTATTTTTTTTTATTTAACTATACCATTCATTATGCTTGTGTCATCAAAATTTAATTTTTTAATGGTGTAATAAAAGCAAAAAAAATTAACATAAAGTATGACAATTTTAAATACATCTATGGATACCTGTAAATAAATATGTTATAAAGGCTTGCGTTTGGTTTTAATCTGTCACAGAATAGATGACATTTTAAAGTTCTATATTAATTTTATTTGAAAGTCTTACTTACCCACATGTCACATTATGTTTAGTCAACCAAAAAAAGTAAATGGACAACAAAAACTAATTCAAATTTTAAAATATAACCTTCATGAATATTTTTTTTAATTACACGTTAAGGCTAATGATAGTGATAAATGTCCTAATATATTTTATTTATGTATATATTTCTTATTCATGTTGATTAACATAAATATTATTCTGAAGTTCGATTAAGTTTTTATAATTCGATAAAATTATTTCTTTCTTATTGAAAAATGTTGTGTATAGATACTTTTACCAGTTAACTACTTTTTCAAAAAAGTATTGTTAGTAAAACTTTTTAACGATTTTAATGATTACAAATTTCAAATATTTTAAATAAAAAGCAATTTAAAGTGATAAACTATAATTTTAAATAAATATTATTTCGTGATAATAGTAACTATATTATATTACTTCGTGGTTTTGAAGGCAACATCTTATCTACTATACTAACGATCATATTATTATGTTATTGTATTAACAAATAATTTTCGATGATAAGATATTAATAAACACAAATTATTATAAACACGTATACAATGAAAACTACTAACAATTTTAAAAAAAATTTTATTTTCAATTAGTGTGATTTGTTAGAGACACAAAAGACAAAACGTTAGTTTCTTTGTCTTCAATTAAACACGTATTATGTTATATTTTAGAACATCAGTCCAAATTTTTGGAACAAAATATATATATATAAAGGAGTGGAAGAATGACGCTAGTTCGGTAGGATTTTAAAACGCTCAGTCCGTCGCGACAGTGGAGTATGCCTCTCTCCTGCTCAGTCTCCTCCCCAGAGAACGTCATCGCAGTTTACGAGTCCAATTCCCAAGACGCGTAACGAATTCCCCCGCTTACGTACGTAATCACAGACCACGATTCATTTGTCGTTACACAAAAGGCCCAGAGATCTCACATAAACCACGAAACTTTACAGCTCACCAAGCGTAACTTCCTCCTATTCTCTGGAAGCCACCTCGTCACTCGTGAACAAATTGAGTGATTTGATCTGCAATGACATGCCATCAATGATGTATACCCAACACCGCGAAACATATTTAATACATTTATATATACACATGAAATAATACACATTTACAGATTATTTATATGGAAGTGTCGATAATAGGGAATGTATGCAATATTATAAGACGATCAGCTCATCAAAGTTTGTGAATAAATAGTACCCATATGCTTATTTTAAAACGGTAACTATTGTCTTAGGTCTTAAACGAAATATTATATTGAGATGGTCACACGGTCGGTGTCTTGACAATAGCGTAATAATCGGTTTGTTTGATTTACATTTTCCACTAACCGATACGACGTTTGTGGCAAGTAGAAACGGAAAACCACTTATGTCGCTAATACCCCACGAGTGATTCAAAGATTAGCACTCGGTGCTGCGTGGTAAATGGGAATTTTTAATATAATCAGGCAATCTCTCATGAATATTATTGGCCAACGCCGTTTATACGAGCTAAAATTCGTATATTCGTGCGTGAGTTTGTATGTATGTGTCAAAAGTCAGAGTTCCTATTCCTATTGTTATTTCCACGAAGCATTAAAATTGTATTAAATGGAAACAAAAACCAGATTTAAAATTTATTAAAAACAAAAAGAAGTTGCAATTTCTTTGACGTACTTCTTTGTTATTTACGACACTTAATTTTAATTTAAAATCTTTATTAAACCCGTTTAAATTAATTTACTTTTATCAATATAATCACGTTATGTTATAAACATTTTAAACTAAGAATAAACAATAAATAATCTTAAAATAATTAATACAGTATTCAAGACACTTATTAATGAGTACATTTAAAAAACGTCATGATATCATTTATAAAAAATACTTATCAACTTGTATTACTGTACCTAATTAAAAATATAAATTAAAATAAACTATTGATTCTCTTATAAAGATCACTATTATAAATGTGACTAATTAAATATTTTTTAATATACGGCCATATTAAATAGACAATAGCTGTAACATAGTCAACGATGACGAATGTTATTTAAAGTAAACAAATGAATTTATATAATTTATTTTACTCAACTATAAGGGCATTTAATTCTTACGGTTTACCCTTTTATGCTAAACAACAATGTATGTTTACCTTACAACCCATTATTTACATATGAATGTTTTGTTTGAATGTATTAATTTATGTTTCAGTTTTATAATTGTATCATGGTCGAAAAAATCTATAGCGCAGTTTTAATATTCTATACTTAATACATTTTATACAAAGATAAACTTGTATATTAATTACTACAAATTAACTCTCTTAAATATGTACAATAATAACTTTACACACGTTATGTAATTATTGATTAGATACCAATGTACAATGCATATGTAATACGTGTTTTAGTAAGAATTTAATCGAATTTGACACCTCATGAAACCTTTCAAACAGTGTTTTTAAATATAAATTACCTATTGTGTATTTAAATTAATTTTTTTTTGTGTATAAAATACAAACTAGAGTTATTTTAGAATAGTTAGCGTAATATTGATGAAAATAACATCAAAAAGCATAAATGCATATTATAATTTAATATGTATGTACAAATAAGTATAGATTATACCGTTTTTGGCTGACAGAATACTTTGTGATCACAATAAATGAAAAGAGAAAGAGGAAAACCTCAGTATTTTACGAGATCGAATAAAAACGGATTACACTTGGGGCTTGGGTGAAAAACAGAGATTGTCTGCATGTCCCTTGTGTAGCTGGGGAACCTCGAGGGTAAATTTATTTGGCGTCACGGCCAAGGTGAGGGGCGATTTGTTATTTTTCGTCGAGTTACTAATACAACTTTCTAACGCGCGCGACCGGAGCTCGGGAACTGTATTATGTATCGAAATATTTTTTTTTGGCTACAGTTCGAGCCGGAAAAAAAGAAAAATGAGAAAAAAGGAAAATAAGAAGAAAAATCAGACAACCGGATAGGGTTTTATGTTGACAGGGTGAAACATGGCTTTCTACACACCCTTCAGACTCAAGGATTTTATTTGACTTTTGGTATCCATCCGGTAATGAATTAATACTATTCAATTGCTAATTAATATATATATAATAATCATAAATAAAAAAAGTTTAGCAATGTATATAATATATATTTCATAAATTAATAAGGTGGTATTGAAAAAAACTTTAAAACACATTTCACAACATAAATATTATAGATCTTAGAAAATGTTATGTATATATATATAAATACATTTGAAAATAATTTAGATATTTAAAAACAAATGTAATTATTAGCTGCTAATAATAAGTATAGTTGATAAAATGAAAAAAAACTAAAAGCTATATGTTATCTGCTTATTGTTATTTGAAATATTAAATTTAAGAAGAATTACTTTGAGTAAAATTGATATTTAAAATATTAAACATTTGAATTGTTATTAAATATAAATGTATTATTACGTTATAGTTATAAGCTAATTAAATCCATAAATTTTATTTCAATACCAATAATCTATTTAATTAGTAGAGCAATTTTTAGTGATATTTTATTTTACAGTTATTTTCTTTAAAGAAAATTTACGACTATAAAAATGTTCTATCATGTGTTTTGAGTAATATATTTACCTTATCATAATTTTTATACAAATTAAACTGTAATAAATTAGCGTGTGTTGCATTAAACAAAATATCTAATAACATAAGGAAAAAAAAAATATAACTGAGATAAAATTTAAACTTAAATAAGTATAACTATAGTCAGTTGATACTGCTGAGCATCTAACTATAAATGTTATTATTATATTGTATTTCATCAAAATTGATTATTACACATTTTAGAACGGTGTAGATTTAAATAATTTTTTTTAAATAAAAAAAAATAATTTAACAACGTTCGATTATTCAATTGGGTCATGCGTGTAGGTATGTATATAATAATTGGACTTATTAGTATTTTTAAAACCACAAAGGTGCTTTTTTGTATTTAATACCACATTTATAACTAATACTTATTTAATCATATACACTTCTTTACCCTGCAGTAGGCGCTGTATAGGTATAATAACTAATACCCAACTTATAAGATTTTTACATTTTGACTCCTTGACTTTTTAATATTTTTGCGAGCTTTTAATAGTATTATAATTTTATGTATGTAAAATAAATACCTGTGATGACAACGATCAACATAAATATTTATTTATAAATAATTATTGGCAAATCGTAAAAGAAGAAACCGGGACATCCTATCCGCAAAACAATTGACAATATCTAATTGTACTTAAAAAAAGGGTTACAGTTAATTAGATTATTTTATAAAGCGTTCTTTGGAAATGGCATTTGTCCAAAAAAAAAAAGTATAAAGTGTTATTGATCGACTAAATGAGCTGGAAGTTATTACTCTATAAAAACCCGTTAAGATAAAAGTTTGACAAGTATTACGAAAAGGTGTTATATTAATACGATCTATAACAATAAGTCAATATAAAATTTTTTTCATATTTTTTTTTTTTAAGATAGATTCATAAATTATATTTTATTATCTTCGAAAAATAGTTTTCACCGATCTAGAATAAATTTTAAATTATTGCTACATTTTAGTTCCCAAATATATTGGTTGAAATCTCGCATGAACTTTTTGTATTTAGTATATATTTATTATATTTTACTCTAAAGTTATAGCCATTTATCAACCTTTTAACTATTATAGTTACACACATATATATGTGGTAAATGATTATGTAAATAGTTAACACTTAAATATTATACTATTTATACTTTTAACTTTTAAGACATGCTATTAGAAGATATTTCGAATATATAAATTTTGATTAGTATAACAACTTAACGTAAAGGGTATCGCAAAAATCTTTTTTACCATTTAAATTTTAACACAATAATAAACACATAACTTTTTATTAAGAAATGGTTTACTATATAGTACGATTTATATATAAAATAAAATACTTAAAATTAAACATTTATTCAGCATACTCAACATTTTCATTATTTGCATCGTTTTATTATTATTCTAATAGCTGATAATCCTCTAATATCTTATTTTAGACTACATATTTACAACCGTAAATTTATTGGTTATTAAATTAAATGTATACAATGTAAATTTATAGCGATTTAAATTAAAATAATAATACATTTACGTACATAAGTACATTTTATACATAACTTATAAAAAAAGTAAGAACTATTATTTTTATGAAATGAAACGTAACCATTTTTCAACTAATCCATATTTTCTATAATAAAAATAATATCATTATATTATTGCATTGCACGTACATAATATAATCCCCGCCCACTCGTAAAACGATAATTTTTTTTTCTAGTTTACTCTTTCTCTCTATTTTCTAAGACTACCTCTCACGCCAAAGTAACGCGTGTTCTACTAGTGCGATGACATTTTTTATTGAGCACCGACAATCGTAAATACGATTCGGTGAATATAACCGGGTTACATCGGAAGAAAAAAGTATATAATACGGACGAACCCGAAGAGTTATAATAAAAGTCCGAAAAGAGGAGGGTCTTCTTGAAATATAATGGAGCCACGTTGTATGTATTTCTGTAGAGTTAATGTTACTTTCTCATAGGTCACAAATCATTGTTACAAGCCTGGATAAAAAAAAACTATGAATTTGTTGACTGTCGTGCTTAAGTTGTTAGTATACGTTATTATTATTTTTTTGTCAGGAAAGTTATGAATACATTTAAATTGAGTATCATTTACAATGCACACCTGTATAATTACTAATTATACCCATCTTAAAAACAACCCGACAATATTCCGATATAATGCTCACCTCAGAATCACATTCAGTTTTTAAATGTAATTTTATTGATCGTTGCTTTTGGATTAAAAGTTAATACATATGTGTCTAAGTTTTATAGTAAACGGCTGGCAACTGCAATAGCCAATCAATAAAAAAATTATCTATAAATATTCGATTTATAATTTACAATAGGTAATATGAACAATTCAAATTAAGTTACAATACATAATTTAATTTTTTATTAATTACAATCTATCAAAAAAAAAAAAAAAATAATAAAATAAATAAATAGCCGACTATATAGTTGACAGATACTTGCATACTCTTATTTTTCTTTATTTTCAAAACTACCAAAACAATTTTAACAAGTCATAGAAAAAATTAGTTAAGTATTCATGGTTTTAACTGATTTCCTTTGAAACATTTATTCCTTGTACATTGTATTATTTTATTCTATCATATACATAATGTTGTTAAGTAATTCTATTACGCAAGTCTCATATTTTAAAATATAAAATATGTATTTATTCTACATTAAATTTATAAATAAAGCTTGACGAAAATAAATAAATTATTATTTATGATTTTATATTTTTCATTATACGTATAATGATTTTAATGTCATCAGTAAACAGTAAAACACTGCAATATTATTAGTGGTGTGCAACGACATAATTTCAAATTATCGATATCGTTGCCCATCATTAAATACTATACCATTACATATAAGACGCATAATTCTTACTTTATTAAATCTTAAATAAAATGTAGATGATTTACTATTTCATCAAAACAAATGTTGACAGTTGTCAGTTTATATAAAATAAGAAGCTTGATTATTTATTGTGAACCAATTGATACACAAAATGAAAAACTTGAGTCCATTTAAAAAACTTATATTACACTGTAATGTTTAAACTTTCACGACAAAATGTTATTCTATATTATTATTATCCAATCAAAACTAAAACGTTGTCTTTGCCTTGCAGCACATGCATGTCATGCATATGTTTTATATAGTCTCATTTCAAACTTCATAAGTATAAATATATAATGTATGGCTTAAAGGAAACAAAATAATTTAAAAGTAATGATTTATCTATGAAAATGCAACTGCATCATCATATACAAGTGCAATCAATTTATATTAACTAAAAATATACCTATTGTGTTATTTTAAAAGAAATTAAAATAAAATAATTCAAATGTTTTTAATTTCAAATCGACTTTAACATAATCTAAAATCCAAATAGATAAGAATTAAAGCTCAATTGTGGGAAGGAGAAATATATTTCGATTTTTTCGTATTTGGATATCCTACTTTATTTACTTATAAATTATAAGAATTATAAAATTTGAAAGTATAAACTGTTAAGCTTAAGATCTAATAGTAATTAGTATCTAATTTACAATTCTGCAATAAGTACTACAATGTAATTATTTTAAAATAGGAATGATATTTTGAATTCTTTACAAAGGTAAATAGAAAAACACATACCTAATAATTGATGAAAGTAAAATTATTCTGTATACCTAATCGATGACATAGTAATATCAAATTATTAAAAATCAAAAACAAAAAAAAATATATAAAAATTTTAATATGAATCATATTAGTAAAAATAATATATACATTTTATTTAGTACATACGTTTAAACATTTTAAACTTATTATGATTTTAGATTAAATAAATGATATACATTTTATACTTTAACATTATGAGTTATTTGGTTATCCCCAAAAAAATAAAATAATTTCAGTATTTAGTTTATATCAAATCATACATTTTAAATTGAGTTAAAATTGTAAATAATAAAATATTTTAAATTATTTGCGAATTATGGTGTTACAAGGGTGCATAATATACAAATTAAAGGTCAAGTATCTACCAAACATTTATAATATGTATAATCCATTGATATTTAACTAACAATTATATAAACATATAGGTTATAAATAAGATAAATGAAACAATATAATATTTATTATCACTATTTTCAGTTTTGGCATTTCACTTTTTCGGGCATTTTGAATTTTTATTTTTAAATGTATTTAATATTATGGTAGATACTATTATAATAAATATAATTTATTATAATAGTATCTACCATAATTTCAACAATGACGTTAAAATTAACACATTTGTGTTTAAAAGAAAATTTTAAGCTATAGCAAGCTATAAAAATAAAAATACTGCAGTTGCGTCCAAACCACTACGAGTTTGATTATAAAACGTTAAAATGAATTTCCAGTTATATTGTAAATAAATTAGTTTAATTTAAGTACAGATTAAAACAAGAACATAATTAATAAATTAAGTTTTTTACTGTAATATTTTTGTTAATAATCAATACTTTTATCTGTCAGTATATTATCGTACTTTTATCAAACTTTTACTAACAAATAAATTATTATTTTAATTTTTAAGAAATTTTGACTTACATAACAAATACACCATTGGTTTAGATAACTATTGTACAGTTTTTAATTCAGAGCAGATCAATAAATGTATTGATTTTAAAAAGATGAGTGGTATTTTTTTTATTTATTTATTTAATTTTTTTTTTTTGTAGAAAAATTAATTTTTTATTTTATTGGTGATTTCATCCTTCATTAGATTTAAAATGAGAATTTTTGTTTTTTTAACGTCTAACTTAAGGACAAATAATCGAATAAACTAAAAATGTTTCCAAATATCTATTTAAACGTTTTTCATCCATTATACAATATTCAAAATATTTTTGAGCTATGTATAGACATTTTTGATTTTCTTGTGTTATAGTTTATTTTTCTGTTTTAAATTTCAATATTGAAAATCAAATTTTCTTCGCTAAATTAAAAAGTAAAAAAATTGTTAAAAATATACATATTATTATACATGATTTTATAGTAAACAATTTCAATTAAACCTTTTTCTAAATCACAAGAACTTGTAAATCAATTTTTCGTAGTTATAAATTTATGAAATATTCAATTTTTATAGCTAAGCCTTGAAAATATAATATAAGATGCCTCATTAGTAGCTCATACTGAAACTAAAAATTCTTAAAAATATACAAACACAATTTTTTTTATAGATATTTATAGTTAAAATTTAAATAAAATTTAATATTTTAACAATGAATTACAATATTTACTATTTTGTTAAAATTAAAAAATATTATTCGTGAATATTTAAATATGTCAACACATATTATTATATTTCAATATAAAATAGATCTAAAAATCGTTTATCACAACAACAAAAAATTAAACTTAGGTATGACCATATTTTATTTTGTACTGAATATTATAACCTAACAGAAAAATAATAATAATTTCTTCTTTTTTTTCTTTCTGCCAAAAGTATCAAGTATTAAAAACCACCTATCGCGCATTATTGAATATCCAAAAAGTTTTACAGCCTAATTATTTTAAATACAACTAATAAAAAATGAGAATAAAAAAATTCCGTGGAACATTGTTAAAAGTAAATTATAAAAGTATTTAATTCCTTTTGAAAAGAGCTTATATTTAAAACTATTTAGCCGGATGGTATGCATGCGGAAATGATCAAAGTTTTAGATGAAGATAACATGTAATACAACTTATACGAACAAAATTTATAAAGTACCTACTTAAAATGTATTTTCGTTACACTGCAAAAAAAAATAAGTCGATAAATCTAACAATTTTTTTTTTTTCATCATCGTTATGATAATAATATTCAATACGATAACAGTATAAATTATAATATATTATACGTAGTTTAGCGGTCTAGCTCATAGTAAATAGATACCTGATATTATAATAATATTATTAATATCTATATTGTAGCGTAATATTATATGAATATACATGAAAATACAATCAATCATTACATATTACAGTAACTTAATAATAAATACATGTATATAATATATATATTCATCACACACAGTAAATAATATATATTTATATCAACACCTAGTTAATGTAGTAGCATTAACTATATTTAGCTACAAAAGAATATATTAATATCCATATGAATATAAATATTTATATGCGCAAGAGTATATTAATATAATATTATATTAATAAAATAAATTACTGTGGATAGATACTTACACGACTATACTTTAAGCACAAAGCAGAAATGTTATTAAATCATACTTCTTGTTTCTTATATTTGTTTTATTATTACTTGAGTATTTGAGAAATTAGATCCGTCATATTTCAAATATTTTAATTAGTAGTAATTATTTCAATGTTTTTCTTAGAGAAAATAAACAATAACTTAATTATTGTATAAACATTTGCATTCATTTTACTTATGTAATATGTATTTTTTTAAGAATAAAACCATGTAACAAAATGAGGGCTGGCAGATCAACAGTGCTAACAGCTCCACTTTTGTACAATAGCAGTTGCTGGCATCCGCGTATCTACACCAACGGTCTATTATTTCGCATAACCGTATCGGGTATTACAGAGAGTGCATTCGTCTCGTTACTTACAGTAGCCATACTCGTCGCTAATCTTATGGTGATAGTCACTATCAACAGCGACAAATATACGAAATTTATACACCCGCAGGTAAAATATTCTATTCATCTGTGTTATAATACATAATAATTTATGGCATAGAATGTAAAGATACCATATATTACACGTGTAATAAAAATAATAATTTTTTTATCTCATATTTTATTCCCATTTTCCAGCCTCGATACTTGGTGACATCGCTCGCTTGCAATGACTTGGCCATTGGACTATTGGTTACACCATTAGCCGCTTTTTCAGCTTTAGTCCATTGTTGGCCATATTCGGAAATCGTATGTCAAATTCAAGTAAGTTCATAATTCGTGTATTGGTCAGTGTAATATTTATATTTATAAATGTATATAAATAATTTAATTTAACATATATTATGCAATTAATAAATAAAATAAATTTTAAATTACATTTCACTTTGGACAGTCTTTTAATTTTTCAAAATAAATAAATATTAGTATATTTTACATGTAACTTAATTACAATAGTAACGGTTAATAAGAAAAAATATGATTTATACACAATTCTTATCCACGTCACGTTTGTGAGATAAATCACTTACATATCATGAAACTTAAATAAAATATAAAATTATTATATTTATTTACTATTGTCATTTATACGAAAAAAAATAATAAATTGTTATTCTCATACTTGATTTTTAGTTTGCTGTAAATAAACATTACTTAAATAATAATATTTTCATAACTAAATATAAATCTATGATAACATGTATAAAATATAAATAAAAATTTACATGGCAATGACTATCCCATTTTTGTAACTTTTTTTTTATATATAATCGACTAGTTTATTCTCAACATATGCTTTGATAGCGAAAAATCATGTAAAAAAAAAGTGTAAACTACACTAAATAAATCAAAATGGAACATTGATTTGTTTCCTTAACCTTGATACTTTTTAAAGTTTTATTCAATAAAAAAAAAATTCTGTTTTTATAATAGTTTTCTTTTAATTTTCAATCCGTTAAATAACTGAATCAACCAACTAAAAAGGGCGCCAAACTATTCCAAAAGTAACGGTACAACAATTTTGAACAACACTGGTTATGACTTATGATGATGAACAACCGTAGACTAAATTAAAATGTATTAAAATGTAAATATTAAAATACTTTTAGGTATGTAATATCAGAATGTTAAATACTTCGCGTTTAATTTAACTTACAACTTAAATCTAATTATTGAATAAAATACTAACTCAAATTACCTCTTGATGATTTTAAAACACGCGATGTTGATGAAATAAAATATCAAAAAAATCGATATAGAAGATAAAAATATTATAAAATTTTAAATCCCACAATAATACCATAATTTTTTTAATATAATATGCAAGTGCCAACGAGTTTTACACACATCTATAATATAATCAATATTGCGCATTACATTATTAGTAGTTTTGGTAAAAACAAATAACTCTACCCATCACAAACGGTGTATTACAAGTTTACTATACATTTTTGTTTTTTTTTCGATTATTGATTAGTTGTTATACTTATTTAATATATTATTATAATTTATTGTACATTATTCAACGATAAATTTAGATAATATCTAAAACCGTTGTATAATATAGTTTCGCTAAACAGGACTTCGCGGGTGATATTACTTTAAAACGTAACGATTGAACACGCTATTTTACTTTTAAGATCCATTTATTTATATCAAATATAATGATCTTACATATATGTTATATATATATATATATATATATAAATATATGGTCCAAAATAGTAGTTTGAATTCTCTCCTATATCTATCAAGCTAACCTCCCCTCTACCATATATTTTCTTCTATATATTATATTTTATATAATATAAAGTAAAACTATTTCCAATAGCGTTGCTAAATCCATACCATTCCTTATATTGCAGTGCAAGGCGAATATATGGTACCTAATGCTATCTAAATGACTATATACCCAACGTATTGAGCCTTTACGCGTAGTCCCAAGGAAATTATTAAGACACTTTTCAGCGCGGTATTATATTTCCCACGAGATGTACATTCGAAACCGTTCGAACGGTACATCGCGATCGCGTTATCGAAATCCTCTTATGATCCCATTAAGGGGCGGCGATGGGTAGGCGGACAGAGTTTTCAAATAGACGATCGTGTCGATGTATATTATACCTACTATTACTATTATTATTATTATTATTATTATTATTATTATTATACACTGTATAATATGTGTGGCGCGGTCCGTTGTGTATAATAAAAGAAGTGAAAAAGATCGAAATAATTTCGTTATGACGAATGAACTTATAAGAAGCTACTATAAGGGTGGTGAAAATGACCGGCTACAGCGATTTATATATAAACGCAATAAAGCGATTATGTGAACGATAACGACAAAAGATGACTTATTTTTGAACCATATACCGATTCGTCTTTATATGTTACCGGCAATGATGGTGATTAGACATTATCAATAATGACTGGCTGATTGGACATAATAATGAAATCGCCTGTTTTGTAAAAGAATTTATATTATACTTATTATACCCTATCTTTTACTCTTTTATGACAATTCCCAATAAATTTAGAAAATCAAACTAAAATTTCTAAAAATATGAATATTCACTAAGCAATATGATCAAAGGCTAATTCTCGTGGTATTAAAAAATACAAATTGTTTTCAAACAAATAAATTATTTATCATTAAAATTTATTTCCAATTAGAAAAATATTTATTATATCATACATGATATTATTTCAAGTAACATATTACAAATATATTTATTAAAGTTTTGTTAAGCTCCCACACGAAACATAATAGACAAATGGTTACATATTATTTAAATATCTATACGAAAATAAAGACACCAGTACATAAATTCCTAATTAAACAAATATAAACCAATGTATATTATAATTATCTCTGCACAGAAATAAAACTAAATAACATCCTACTTTCTGTACTGCACAATATGTATATCCATGTTATACAACATTGTAACATAATCTCAATTATCTAGAGTCTAGACTTCTCTTATTTTATACAAAATAAATACAATTTGTGCATCTTTTTTCATTACATAATAGACTTTATTCAATTAAAAATTGAATTAAAAACGTTTTGATGCAATACAAAAACAGACCAATTTTTACCATACCAACTACATTTTAAGTTATCAGTCTTATAGCCTATAAAATTCTAAACAAAGTAAAAAGAAAATTTTTACTCGTAATAGTTTTTATTCGTGTGGGAAACTACGCATGCATACCCATGGGTGATTTTTAACCTACTATGTCTTGCATGGGAATTCCCATTTAACCTATTTTATCTTTTATCTATCTTTACATTTCACTTTACTATTACATTTTAAAACTCCTGTGCTTAATAATTAAAGTTTTAAATTTTACAATACGTGCAAATATACCATGCGCGTGAGGTGAGTCCAGTCTCGCTATCTCATTGAAGATACAATAATAATATAGCAACTGTTAAGAATCGTTCATTAAACTTACTATATAACGTCGCCTACGATAATAAAATTTACATAATTCCTAGGTAAAGTTTTTAATTATAACAATATTCCTAATAAACTAAACGGTAATGTGTCTTATGTACCTAATAAAAGATATATTTTAGTCATTTGCTAACAATTCAAATTAGTTTAGATATTTATTATAAAATATAGTTATTTTCTAAATGTTCATAATTTTCGTTAATACATACACAATGTTTATATACTTATATAAAAACATGCTCATCCTTTTCTTCTTCTTCGATAGTGTAATTTTTCAAAATATCGAGACATTTTATACAACTCAATATGTGTCCAAGTATCCTATGGAGATGCAAACTTCTGTTCTGCAAATGACACCCTCTTTTTTTTCTATTTATCTAATTATTTTCCTAAAAACTTTGACGCATTAAAATTTAAATTCAAACGAGTAATTTTTGATATATTTGACACTATGTGCCAAAAATAATAGATCAATGATTATGAATTTGAAAGGTGTGGTGAATTTAATGATTGGAAAATTTTGGTAATTAATATTCATTTATCAACATATTTAATAATTTCTAAAAATGATCCAAGTATAATAAATGTCAATATTACAACTATTTTCGTAAATAATTTTTAAGGATTAATGTCCTTACTCCTTAGTATAAACATATCAGAAGACATGCCGCCGACAGTGTAGTTTGTACCGATAGACTTGTAAATATATATCGGAAAAAGACAAGTTATAACTTATAAGCTGTTTCAAATTCAACAGATTTTACTGAATATCAGCTATAGCCTGTAGGTGTTTAGTTATGATAACGTAGTGACAGGGCCTATACACGACGCATTACAAAGTGATAGACACTCGAGTCTATATTAACTTACCAGGCGGACCGTGATCGGAATGGAAAACCTCACGCGTGCAGACTTGGCCGATACGCGCGAGCGCAGCGCATCGAAGAGATTGAACGAAGACAGAGATGACGATGTGAGAAATACATGTTCGAAATGTAACAATAGCTGTTTAACATTCAGCTCATTGTCCGGAAGAAACTAACACTAACGAATACCATAATAATGCGCGATGTACCTACATGGGTACAATTGATTCTACTAAAAGTTTAAAAAGAAAATGGTTTTCTTTATTTTTTTTTTTTTTTTTTTTTTATTCACAACTATAACCCACTAGTTCAACGTAATTTCGGCATCTTGCGTGTTCCGTTTAGCAGTTAATCGGGTAATCACTCTTACATGCCGGCCTTTTAAAATTCAACACCGGTCGGAGTAGATTGCTTTTGAGTATTCACGGCTTTGACATGATTCATCGAGACCGCACCACCACTTCCGCCACCGCATCCAGTCACGCTGCGTCGTACATATAGAGTCGCGCAGACTTTTATCATATTATTTGCACAGCGCTTAGGTGTATTACCTAAAAATATATATATAAATATATTTATATATGTATTATATACATGTAATTTATATAAACAGTTTTCTAATGTATCATTTTGACGAGCCATCCTTTTCGAGTACAGCGTACCTTTAACTGTAATCTTCAAAAGTACAACTTTTATAACTCAACTCGAAATATACTATATAATAATATGATAAATAATAAATTACACACTCGTTCTACAGTGTTTATTTCAAAACGATTTAAAGACATTAATTAACATTAATTTTTTATTAACATTAATTACAAGGTTCATATTGCATAATATAATTATAATATGAGAGGTAAATAAGTTTAAAGAAGACTCATATTCCACTCAAAGTTTGGTTGTACCTAAAAGTTATTACATCATAGTCCATAATATTGTATTAATAATAAGTATCATAAAAGCTAAAAGATATTATTTAACTTTAAGCGTACGAACTAACTTAACCTTGTAAAGTATACAAATTTCTTAATTGATATAATAATATACATCAAAATAAACAATTTCATTATTTTATGAATCTTTTTAATATCAATTAAGACGTAAAAATGTCCACTCTTGTTTATAAAATTACCGAGTACTTGTATCTTATTTTAATTTAAATTAAAACATCTTATTAATTATTAAATGTGTACACATTTAAAAAAAAAAATTTAATAATCATAATAAACTAAATTATTGTAGAAGTTATATTTTCAACATTTAACTAGTATTTTTGTACTTAAGCTAAATTTTAAATCTAGCTTAACTAATCCAAGTGTAGAACACAGATATATATTTTATATTACACATTACAATCTTTAGACCTTTTAAAAGCAAGTGCAGATAACTAAAACTAAGTGTTTTGTAACATTTGTTAAAACATTTAAAAAACACCATTCCCAATTTGTCAATTTTTTTTTTTTTAAGCCACCTTATTTATTTTTGTTAATATTTATTTTTAATGTACCTAATTGTTAACTTTGTATTATTTTATATACATTGTACTATAATGAACATTTTAAGTGCAGTTCTACATATTTTTTATATTAAATTAGATGTACTATTAATTGAACGAAAATCTGAATAAATTTTTAATCAAATAACATAATAATAATTCTACTCAAATATCTTTCAATTATATAAATATATATATATATCTAGATACTTCTAGAAAATTCAAATACTTGACAGAGTTGTTAACCAAAAATACACTGTAATTACGTAATATTTGATGTAAAATACAAAAAATATTGCGTGTTGTTAAAATATCATCAAGTAAATGATGAAACATTATTTAAATTTGCTAATTCAAGCACTTACAAAGAAGTGTAAATAATATAAGAGTACAAAAATAAAGTACACTCTTATAGACTATTAAAACTAAAATGGTAACCCTTCACTGGCAGATTTTAAAAACATGTGAAATAATGCTGTTCCAAAGAACGTGAGTTCTTGAAAAAATAAACTTTTTTATACTACTTATATAATACTAGGTATATAAATATAATCTGACACCTTGTTTTAATACCATATTTTTTTGGTCGAATATGACCTATATTAATAAAAAATTGAACACGTTATTTAACAAATTAAAGCAATTTATTAATTTTCATTATCATATTTTCAGGCTCTTTTAAGGGCAGCTTTGCCACAACAAAATGCTATGATATTAGTGTTCATGGCAGTCGACAGATACACATGTATGTTGCACCCAGATAAATATCACAAACATTCGAGTAAAAAAGTAAGTTATGAATTTTTTATCGTGAAAAGATGGAAAATATTATGAAGAGTAAGTACAGATTGTCACTGTTGTTCATGGTTTTTGATGAGGGTAACTTTAACCGAAACTAATAAAAATTTGAAATTAATAGCTAAATATATTTGAAGTACATTATAAAATACTATCATATACTATATTATCATTTACTACTTGAATTTTGAATGATAAACGATAAACCAGTATCATTATATAATTTTGATAATTACACATCTTGTTCTGAAATTATACATAAATAAAAATTGATTCATACCTATAAAAATAAATCCTAAAGACAATTTAGTCTTAAACAATTATTTACATTATAGATATACTTTAAACACCAAATGCTTACACGAAAAAGATAACAATTTTATTTGCACAACAATAGAGCCTCTAATTGTAACATTACATCGAAAGATACGTGGGTTCCATTAGCATTACTGTGAGTACCAAATGAGTAAATTCCTAATTGATATCTACTACAGTCATGTTCCAAAAGTTTAAAAGTCTTATGTCTTATTATTTAGGTAAACTAAAGTAATATTTAAATAATTTATTCGTATTGTCTTCGTCTAAAACTCTAGAACACAAATAACCTGTAAAAAAAAAAAAAATGTTGAATACAAATGTCATTAAATTATACTTAGTAAAAATAATCGTACTTTTACAATCTGTATTAAAAAAAAACTAAAAATAAAAAATAATAATTCTGGTATTGTATAGATCATAGTTTTATATGATTATTTTAATATTATGAATGTTTATTACACGTTTTAAATAATAAATAAATAAATTTAATTGTTTTTACTTTTTACTACCAACTCTAAAACCAGTTTTCTCGAGTATAAAAACATTGAATTTCAAAACTCAAACTTCTCATTTCTACTCAGAACCTAAAAGGTGTACGTATGAAAACAGATATTTTAACAAAAATCGATGTTATATTATGTACATACTTCAATGAAACTAACATATAATTTATAGGTATACACAAAATTAAATCGAGCCTGATTTGAAATTATTAAAATGTGTATTCCATAGACATCAATTCATTTACAGGTTATTCAAAATTAAATCATAATCATAACTAATAATATCAAACAAATAAAATAGTGTAATAAAATTTTAGTACCCTTTAGTACCTACATTTTATTTAAAATCGATGAATAATTTCCATTTAAAATTCTTAAAAGATACATTTATATTCAGTTCTTCATATTTTCGATACATTGGTCTCTCTATAAGTTTGTTCAAACTCATATTTATAAATCTATGATAAATAACAATAAAACTCAAAGAAATGGTTCTTAAACTTCAGAATACAAAGATATTTAATATTTATTCATGTAAACGAAAATTGAGTAGAATGAAAATATGAAATATTTATCATTTAGAAAAGAAGTAACTATGTAAATTAATATATTAAACAACATTATTTAATTATGCTTATTTACACCAACGAAATATTACTTCCTTTTCCATTCTCCCGATTAACATAATCTTTATTTAATATTTATACTAAATTTATATCATGTCAAATGTTGATAAATTATTTTGTATTTGTAATATTCTTTGCGATCGACTGATCAATAGCATAATAATTTCTTATCACGAGAACCAAATTCAATTAGGCTAACTAAATAAGTACTATTTATATTTATAAAAATGTACTCGAAAAATTCTTTAATAACTATAATTTGTAAAAAAAAATATTTATGCTTCAAAATTCAAATAATCCTTTTTCAATAAATCTATAAAAGTATAATAATTCTGTTATAGTTAATCAATGTTCATCATTCATGTTTAAAAAAGTGTATTTCAAACTAAGAAAATAAATCGCATACACCTATTTTTACCGTAGTTTTTTGTTCCTGTTTTTGTTATCTTTATTAGCTATATAGAGTGTAATTTCCTCTAAGTTCGAATGTCATTTGAATTTCTATTTCCGATTCACATCATGTGTACGTATATTACTAGTTTTTCCTGAAAATATCTTGATGAAATACTCAAATAGCTAGGTTATAAATTATGACTAATACATTTTCCATTTCGACTTAAGAAATAGTTTAGTGGTCTTCGTTAGATTCTTGAATTCCTATCTGTGTACTTTGAGTAGAGGAAATTAACATTTATAAAGTTTCAATTGAAAATTCTCATCGGCCTAAGCATATAGTAGTGAAAACAATATTAGGAAAACCAAAAGGTATCATTCACAACATTTAACTTAATTGAAAGGTCATACTAAAGTCGGTGCTATCATTAAAACATCTATAGAAACATATTTACTGTTTCGGGTACATTTTAACCATGTTATGATACGTGCAGTATAATATCGTATAATAATTAATAACTTCCTGAAAAATACTAATAGAGAAGAAAATGCATTTATTTTCATAAACTACCACAATTAATATTTCATTTAATATTTTAATTAAAATAAATTATGCAATAAAATAAAAAAAAATAATATTGTAAATAGTCTTTGGAATTTACTACAAATATTACAATTATCATAACACAGAACATTGAATTATAAAAAAAAAACATGTTCAGTAGCATAACATTTTTATGAATACCTAAATATACTAAAAAAAAACATTATATAATATGTTTGAAGTATTATTTATTATTTATTGTTTTGTATCTATTGGTATCTTAGCTTTAAAATCGTTTCCTAATAATTTATGATTGGTCTACGTGATGTGCTTTAGTAATGTAACCGATATACATGAAAATGAAAATAAAATATTTAAAAAAATAAAAAAAAATAAAAAAAATAAATATTCTTTGTGCAATTCACGCGTGAATATGAAAAAGGAATCATAGAAAATTTATATGACCGAAAAATTTTCAAGTATTTAGAAATACAAAATACGTAGATACACCTTCATTTTATCTTCATAATTCAGTAGTTTCCTATATCCTTAAGATACGTTTATGTATTAAATATTTTATAATTTTATACAACACATTTTATATCGCTACCTATATATTTTATTAAGCAATAATATAAGAAAACAAATTACAGTAATAATTTTATTTAATAAGAAAACGGGTGGATCATTTCTTAATTGAGGGTTGTGCACTTGTGTCCAAAGTCAAAGTCCAGCGTTACAAAATATCAAAGATATAATTATAATATGTTATAACACTATAACACATGCAAATCAAGAATTATTCAACTAAAACAATAATAATTAAGATAATATTATTAAAATATGTAAACAGTGATTGTAAGTTGTAACAATATAATATTGTTATATAATAAATAAGTACCTATAATGAATAAAAGTTAAAAAAAATTTACCTAATATGTATACATATTATGTAATAATGTATAAATTTAAAATACGTTAATTGGAAAAATTGCATTCATAGTTACTAACAAGTAATAATTATTTTTAAATTTTAATGGAAAAAAAATATAATAGGTGGATAGGTAGACATAGCAGGCACCTTGTTATTTAATAAAGTATTATTGTATAAATCGTTAAATTAATTTATTTTTAGTAATCTTTTAATTATTAATTAATATAATTAACTTAGAAATATTGTAAAAATTCAAAATTCAAATATGTTCTGTATTTTATTGCATATTATATTATTCCTATTATAAGTTATATAATATGTAGCCTGCATAAAACAAAATCGAACCTCGTAACACATTTATAGATACATACAATATAGAATGATTAACAACATTGATTTTCATTGAAGTTTAATTAAGAAGAAAAAAACAATTCTCATGAAAAAAATAACAGTAAAATATATGTCCTGTAAACATTTTAATAATAATATTAATTACTATATTATGTAATAGGTACTATAATATATAATACATATTTTTAAATAAATAGTTAATATTATAATAAATGATATATAAATTTATACAATTGTAACCAAACCTAAACAATATGGTACTATTTTTCCAAATAATTTAAAAGTAATTGTATTTAATTTTGAAAAAGTAATAGTAATAAGTACCTAATAAAAATAACTTAAAGATAATTTAAAAATATATTTTTTAAATGTTTAAATCAAATGTTTAATCGGAAAACATCTTCATATTTACCATTATTGTCAGGAAATATAATAGTTTAAAATTTTTTTTCTAGAATTCAAAAGAATGTGAAAAGTAATTACTGAATCGATTTAAATTTAGTCTTCAAGTTAACTTGCGCGTAATACTTTCCAGAAATCAATTGAAAAAAAAATATATTTTTTCACCTTAGTTTTTTATAAAATTAATTTGATAATTAATGTTAATTTAAATTAATTAAATTTATAGCGTATAAATATAAATTGTATGATAAAAAAAAAATCCTTTGCTTATGAAACAAGTACTACATTAATGACATAAAAATATATGAATAGGTATATATTTATTTGTATTATCAACTTGTTACAGATCTCAAACTTCAAAATAATAATTTATAGTATATATAACGAAAAATGGAAGTAAAACAAATGTTTCGTTATTAGTTGATCTTAAAATACATTTTTTTTTAATTTATAGAAAAAAAAATTTAATTTAAACTAATGTAACATTTATTTTTATTTATCATATGGTTTTCATTTGTAAATGCCTACTTAAAATTCTGATTGAAACAAGAAAAAAATAATTGTTTTTATTCCTAATTTTTTTTTTAGACAATGAAAACAATAATTATGTCTATAGACTTTGGAAATGTAATCTTTCTAATTTCGTTACTAAGGTTTAAGAATTAACTAGTTGATATCGTGTTCCAGTCCTGACAAAAACAATAATTGAGCTTAAAATATAAAAGGTACAAATTCTGATACCAAGAATACTGTGCATTTTGACTACCTATAAGAGTACATCCAATATTCTCGATCGTAATTCGTATGGTTCACCTTCACGCTTCCTAAATAGTGAAAAATTAGAATAGTTGTTCAATTAGATAATTTATTCCAATTGTGTTGAATCTGAGAAAAATCCATAAAAGAAATTTATCCTATGGAACTTGACGAAGAAATACTTATGCAATCGGCCGTCAGTCATGTCGTTTTGTTTGTACTTCATACATTTACGTCGTAAATCGTAATTCATAAATGATTATTATAATACGAGTATTGAATATAATAAGTGTAAATATGCGCTATGCGATATAATATTTTACCTCAAATACACATGCAAACAATCTATAATTTATAATAACAAAAACCATTTTATTTTTCACTGAAACTTCTAACAAAATAATTTTAATAATACGTGACAATGTTTACTGTGAATTTCATTCTAAAAAAATATTTAAATTCTTTCATATGGTACAGGCCGGTGTAAATTTTTATTAAAATTTCTATTTTAGTTTAGTTTAAAATAAATAACCACATTTGTTACATATGTATAATACAAATAATAAAAATAAAAAAATTTGTCCAGTTGTTCCCTCGTAAGTACTATTGTTATGAATGTTTGAATTTGTTAAAAATTAAAATAAGTATCGTTTTTAAATAAACATACGACAGTCACAAAGCCTGTCAATTATATAGTATATAAGTACGCGGTTATTCACTTCCTTAAGATAGACAATAACAACAACTCGATGTATAGTATGTATATATATATATCGAGCTCTTAAAAAATATCAAATATAAATTCTTATTTAAATATACCTACTGCTTCTCGGCTGAATATTTCCACCAAAATAACTGCTTACAAAATCTACTTGTTATTAGTAGGTGCCTACGTACTAATTAAGTATTGGATATACTTGTATACTTACGTATTCTAGAATTCAATTGAAAAATTAAAATTTTACCACTTATTGCCAATTACTTGAATTTTGTTTTTGCAGGGCTGTATGTTGGTGTTGAGTTTGACTCTAGTGGGTTCGTTAACCGCATTCGGTGCGGCGGTAATCCGCCGAGGTGGATATTTCTATAACGGCAATGGATTAATGGCGTGCGAGCCGTTTTATCAAAGGCCAAGTTTGCGAATATTGGCCGCCTGCCTGTTTTACTTCCCCACGACAATGGCACTTATGTATTTCTACGGGTCGGCACTGCACGTGGACAGGCTTCGGCACAGACAACAAATCAACATATGTGCCATTCTAGTGCAACCAATGTTACCCAATAGCGCCAGAAAGGTACTTATTAAATATTATAATATCCAACATTGAATTTGAATGTGCAATTTAAAATATGATAAAATCAATGTTCACGTTAAAAATTAGACAATATTTTACTATTTTTGTACCAACCGCTAGGACTTTACTCTTTGGTTATAGAATATTCACGTGCCGTTCGATAAACAAGGGACGTGTGGTGTTAACCATTAAGGAGTATAGAGCAAATCATTGTTTTCTGATTAACTTATAAACTTTATATTTTATTCAAACAAAAATAGAGTTAAATTTTTAAAATGTAGCTTAACTTTCAGTAAAGATAGGTACTCTTATACCAATGATAATAGGTAACGTATAATAGTTTGGCCAAGATGTATTGCGGAACTCGACGACTAATATAATATACCTAGTGCCTATGTCTGAAATCTGAGTTGACCAAAAGCAGCTTGAATTCAAGTAGTCCTATTGTTTCTTAAATATGTATCTTAATTGCATCTAAACAAACATTGGTTTTAATAATTCTCAACATAATAACGTATCGACGAGTTCATAAAACAGAAATAATAAAAATAAAACTTTATGAAAATATGATGTTAATCAATTTTTTTACACGTAACTTTACACAAATACACAATTATAAACTTTTAAATACAAATCAGTCTTATAAAATAATTAATATAGTCAACTCATAAAAGTATAGTTTAAAAAGTTTAAAAATGTATTTTTCATGGAACAAATTAACAATAAAATATCATATAGGTAGGTAGTTAGGAATATTCAGCACTGTTTTAAAATTGCTAACAATTTAAATAAACTTGAATGTGAAGCATAAAATAATAAATTTAATTTTGCATGAGAACTTTATATTGTTAGTTTTTTTTCACCGAATATTGTAAGCTCGTGTGAATTCCTTTTATTTTATTTCTATAAAAATACATTAATGTTATAGGGGTATTAATTTAGCTTTAATAAAATAAAATTGATTAAATTATGACGGATACAAACGTACATGTTACTGACGTGTAAACGCGTCACTGGCCCAATGGAATAAACGTACTTATAAAATTATTATAAATTATATTTTATAATAAATTTATACAATAAAAAAATAAACAAGTCACAATTGGGGTTTATAAAAAATAAAGTTACTTTTTAAAATGTCTGTATTTCGTACTATCTCATGTGTATGGTGTATCGTGTATGCCATGTGGGGGGAGGATATCCCAAGTGCGTCCAGTTTTTATTTTTACCTTTTTCATAGCCCAAGTGCGTCCTCAGTTCACAATCCACATGCAAAAAAATATCATACATCGAAGATAATCAATTTAAAAGTAATAAAATATCAAGACTAGATTTTGTTAAAATAATGGCATTTATACACCAGACATTTATAGTTATAGGTACTAAAAAAAAAAAAAAAAAATTTTCTTAGATAAAAAAAACCATTTAAAATAATAATTAGTAGGTACGTTTACCAAAAATTCAAGGGTGTAAGCTTTTTCAACTCTTTGTGGTGCACCTCGAGTAACTCTAAATAAACTGGTATGCACTAACACTACGGCTATGTCAAAAATAAGTCTTTTTTTCTTGAGACGCACTGAAAACACTAAAAAAGGGTAATTTCGGGAATTTCTCGTGTATGATACATAGTCCCTATATCCTTTTTCCTAGTCCGAAGGTCTAATAATTCGTTGACACTATTGTTTTCGTATGCATACCTACGAATTTCTAAACCATAAATCACAATATGACAAACACTATTCCATATATTTGATAAATCCGGAAATTTGAAATAGTAATTATATCAATAACATAATAATTTTAATTTATGTTAAGGTGAACAAATTTAAGTAAAAATCACGGTACCTATTTATTTTATTAGGTAATTAGATATTGAATTAAAATTTTAATTCAAATATTAATTAGATACTATTGTTAGTATTATAATATGTTATCGCTTTTAGTTATAATAAGTTATAATACAATTATTATACAATTCGAATCTCTAACAATATTTTACCATCTGTAGTCGTTTCAAAATAATTTTACAGTAATAAGTACCCACCATTGTATTATATTTATTCATCTCGAAAAAGTTAACAGCAACCATAAACTATGAAATGTGTGTGTGTGTGTAGGAAGGGAGTATCTAATGATTAAATAAATATATTATTTTTCTAACTATCCATAAAATATAACTAAATACTCACATATTTTATGACTAGCTATTATAATATTATACCATGAAAAATGTATTTATCAAATACAATACATTTTTTTCCTGCAGTCTTTTGTCTAATTATTGAAAATAACTCATGTGGTAGAAAGTTTTAATAATACATAAAAGTATAAAAAAACATAGTTAGACACATAGACTGATATAAATTGAATAAACACATCATAAAACAAACTAAAATATTAGTTATGTAATTATAATTTTCTTTAAGTTAGGTGTACCTATAACGTCTACAACATAAGAGTAGATAAACATTAAATAATAAGCTCTTGAAAATTTATTTTATTTAGAACGCTCTCGACGAAGCATCTGATCGATTAGCATCGAAAGAACTGAGACAAAGCATACGAACTACCAGGGCTATGGGAGCAGTAGCATTAGGTTTTATAGTAGCCGTAACTCCTTGGACAATTCAAGAAGTTGTGACTGCGTGTACAGGCACAAAAGTATGTAATTTTTGTTTTCATAAATATAATATAAATCATCAATATTGTTATATATGATATACCCCACTAATATGAGATATTTTATAAAACATTTACCATGTATACAGATGCCCCCAGCTGTAGATTTCATAATCACGTGGATAGCACTAAGCAATAGCTTTTGGAATCCATTCATATACTGGGCTTTGAACCGAAAGTTCAGACGTATCAGCCGTAATATAATCAAAACCAATGTAATAAATGTTAATAATCCAAGTTGTTTTCAAATATTAATTTTAATTTTTTTCTTTAAGATTTTTCGCCGTAAAAAATACAACTCTAGTGTGATATCATCTTCTTGCAATGTTGGACATCAGGAAAGTTGTTGCGCCAATAGAGACATGTGTTTTTCAACCCTCCAAAAAGACAACGAAGATATTATTGAGGTGGACAGACAGTCATTAGGATCCCAAGACAGAGGAGGATTTCCCCCGACGCCGCCTCCGCCCCCTCCTTATCACAGAGGGGACATACAACATTGTCATTCAATGAGATACTGATAATAAATAATTTGAATAAAATAAATATACTATAGATAGGTACTCAAGTTGATCAATCAAATAACTGTACATATGATCTGTGTATAGAATTATAGTTAGAGCGATTTAAGAATGATCACTGTACAATTATGAATCATATAATTATAATCGATCGTTTAACAGGGTGGCTCTGAATATAGTATTGAAATTTTCGTATTTAAAACCTCGGAATATTTAGTATAATATAATATTATTTTCAGTTTTTAATACCCATGTTTATTAAACTGAATCAAAATGTATTAAAATATACAAAATTAGATATTTAAGTACCTATTTAAATAATGTATTGTAATAAAAATCTCTTTATTGATTCATACTAATTAATTGAATGTGATAACCACACATCATAATTTTATGAAAGCCTATTATCAATATTATGTAATGTATAATTATTTAATTGACTTTAAATCACTTCTTTGTGTAAAACTTCTTTATAGTTTAAATAATCTTTAAAAAATCTGTCAGCCACAAAGTTTAACATAATTCCAAAGTGACTATCTAAATTATATTTAAAAAAAAAAATCAATTACATTTTGATGTAAAAAAAAAAAACTTTTTAGTTGTAATTAAACATTACCTACATATTATGTGAATAAATCATTCTAGAGGTAATTTTTGCTACTCGAGCTTTCTTCACCATCACACTTGTTTACTTCAATTTAAACTATTTTAGCAAATACATTAATATTTTGATATACTTTATCAAAGAAAGAAAATATTTTGTAGTTGAGAAAATAATAAAATTTATACTCTGTAGTATAAAAATATTGAACATGACTAAAACAGCAAGTACATATAATTTGATAAATATTTTGAAATAATGAAAGTTTAACATGAACAAATTATCAAGTTAACTAACAATAAACCATCAAATAGCAAGAATTGAATCTGCAATATTAACTAAAGATTTTTAATTTAATTTAATCGCACTAATTAAATACCTACAGCACTTTTTTTTTCTCAATCTTCTTCAATTCTTAAAACCAATGTACATAATAAATGATTTAGGTTTTTGTTATTTACATATTACACAATCATAATCTCTTTTAAAAAAGAAGAATACTTGACGATAATTTGTTTGTGTACTACACTTATATTTGAAGTTATTATGATTATAAATTATTATAAAAATTATATTTTACTATCTTTTAAAATATCTATTCAAATTAATAAGAAAGTGACAGTTTTTCATTTTGATAATGAAGGATATTGTACGATGGAAGAATATAGCAAATCATCGTTTTAAAACTAATGCTTTACAAATTTTTTTTCTTAATTTTAAATTTACTAGTAAGTATAATAATAATAAGATTATTCTAACCATACCATAATGATGCAATATTACAATAAAAAAAAAAAAATTATACTATTAATTGTTGGTAGACACTTACAGGAAATTACAAATACATTCATAAAAGTATGAAGACTAAACAATTTTTTTTTTTAAATATATATTTGAAATTTGAATCTGTAAATAAAATGACTAATAAAATATAATATGTAATCATTATTATATTTACTATTTAGTAATAAAAATATAATACTTAATAAATTAGATTTTTTTTTTAATACTTACTAATTATTTTACAACATACATATGTAGACTACAAACTATTATTAAATCATTGCATTTACACTATTACAATATCAAAAATAGGAACTATAAATAGAACATTTATTATATAAACTGTACCTATTAATATTTATTTTAAATTTAATACTTTGTGTTAATTGAATAAAATATGTACCTTATTTAAAATATATATATATAATTTATTGTTGTTTTGATTTTTTATAATGGTTGAATTCTATAGATATTTGACACATTGAATAAAATATTATGATAATAATAATATTTTCAATCCATGTATCTAAAAAAAATATTAAATAAATCAATAAAATATTGTAAAATTTATGATAAAAATTACTCACTTAATAAGAATATTGCTTCAAAAAAACTCAATCCAGCATCAATACCACCAAAAAAAAAAAAGTTTGAAATGGCGGACAGCATTGTTAAAGGACTGGTTATAAATGCTAAAAACCGCCTTTCATTAGAGTCGCTTAGATTGCGCTACAATCAAATAATATGTAATAATTATGGATAATTGACTGATCTATAAATTATTTTAAAATTTATTTAATTCATAGATATAGTGTTTAATTAATCCTTTTCCAAATTTTTAATAAATAACTCTATAATATTGTAGAAAACAGAATTTAAATTACTTTAACATAGTGTAAATAGTAAGACGTTTTTCCAAAAACTCTTGCAAGGGTTTCCAATGTAATTCCTATAAAATTAAATAGAGTCCATAAAAAAACTTCCCATGATAATCCATGCCAAATGAAAATAAATGTAAAACACATAAATGACCTAGTTAATTTGGAAGTAAGACTAACATTTTCTGAATGATATCCAGATGGTCTATATATATACCTGAAAAATAATAATATAAATATAAATATAAGAAAAAATAATGTATGTTTTTATTGATTCTCTGTATATTTTTTAATTTTATTAGAAAATACTTGAATTTTATAATTTTATTCATAAATTAAATGTATATGAATATCTACTGAATACTAATTACCTACTTGGTATATGTAATAAATTAATTTCTAATGAACTTAGTTATCTCTTTTATCAGTATCAAATAATTATAAAAAATTCCTGTGATTCACAACTACTGAAATACTACAAAAATAATAATGAGATAATCTTGAATTGGACAATATTCTTTTAATGTTATAATTTTTAAAGCTTGAAATTCAAAAATTACTTTCCAACCATTATTAAATCTAATCTAAACACTTATTATAATAATTATTATATATGAGAGACCAGTGACATATTTATGGAGGGGATATGGTAATAGATCCCCTCTCTTGCCCTTTTTTTTTAAGACCTGGGATAATAGTGTAGTTGTTACTTATAACTTTGCTATCCTATGAGATATGAGTAAAATTACTATTAGCAAAATATACATAATTATGTCTATATTTAATTAATGATATTACACAATTATAAGTAAAAAGTATAAAATAGTATAAAAAATAGAAAATTAGAATTTATTTTATAAATAAATAAGAAGTGTAATAAGAGTGTAATGTATTATGTTCATTTATCATTATTATAAAATTTCTTACACAGATTAACTGATGTTAAAAAATTGTGATAGCTATACTCGATTGTATTTAATGACTATTTTTGTTTGGGATACTAGGCGCCAGCATTTAAAATATTAAACATAATTTTTGGAGGACTATTATTGATTATTTAATTTATATAAGCACTAAAAAGTTATTTCATATCCCTGCCTCAAGAAAATCCAATAAACGCTCCTGCGAGAGACGGTGGGAAGATCCAATGATAACAAACCAAAGTGTAACACTGTGTTATCTTGAGATTAAATGTACATACATTTAATGTTTATTCAACTAATCAATTACATATTATAATATCATTTGTAAACTATGATTGCTTATTTAAAAAATTAATTATTAAATTTAAAAAAAAAAAGTTTATTCTACTTTAGTATTGTTTATAACTCGTTTCGTTTGTTAATATTTCAATTTAATTCAAGTAAAATTTGTAACAAAATGTATTTATCAGTTTTTCTTACTCTAATTTTGAGTTTTTTTACAAAACTAACCATTTGTAATGAATCACCAGTGATTGGAATACTAACACAAGAAGTTTATTGGTCTAGTTTAATACATTTAAAACCATCTAATAACACGTATATAGCTGCATCTTATGTTAAGGCAATTGAAGCTTCTGGAGGACGAGTTGTACCAGTTTTTACCAACAGAACTACTGAATATTACATGTATGTAACAACAGAATAAATAAATTGTATACAACATAATTAAAAATAATTTATTGTAGTGATGTAGTAAGAAAAGTTAATGGTATTTTGGTCCCAGGAGGAGGAAGTGCGTTTAATATTAGTTTTGGAATAAGTCAATCAACAAATGAAATTTTTCACATTGCAAAACATGTAAATAATTATAAATAACATAATTATGAAAATCAACATAGATTAAAATAGTTTATTGTCTATGAATAAAATATTTTTGTTATTTAGATAAACGAGGTAAATGATCATTTTCCAATTCTTGGAATTTGTCTAGGATTTGAACTTCTTTTAATGGTATCAATAAAAGGGAAATTTCCATTTTCAAAATGTAATGCTCAAGATTTAAATTTACCATTAACACTAATACCAGAAATGGAAAAAAAAAGTATGTTATTTAGTAACATGCCTAAAGATATTCAAAACATATTAGTTACAAAACCAGTCACAGCAAATCATCATAAGTACGTGATTATTTGTTTTACTTAGATATATTTAAAAAACGGAAAAAAATATTAGGAACTTTAAAGATCAGCGTTTCTTAAACTTTTTTTATCCATGAACCCCTTTTTGATATCCACTTTTATTGTGGAACCTCTACTTGCTTTTTAGTTATTTTTAGCATTATTTTCAATAATAATTATAATTATTTCATATAATAATAATGTGTTAAAGGTATAAAATTCAAAAATTATGTTGAAAGAAAAAGTGATAATAGTAATAATTGTAAATAAATTATTATTTAAGTAATTATTAAATTACTTTAATTAAACTACATTTTAATTTTAATAAAATGAGTGAAATTGCTTTTTATTATTACAAATATTGGGCTTTATTGATGAAAGTTGTACAAACATTATTTTTACCACTAGCTGCTACTAATCTTCAGTTACATATTTTAAAGTAATTTTCTTGGAAATTTTGAAAAAAAAATTACATGAACATCGTGGAACCTTGAAGTGATTTTCATGGAAGATTACACAGTTTAAGAAATGCTGTTATAGATAATTAATAACTCATTGTTAGAACTTGAAAGTTGTCAGAGTTGCATATTTTTATGAAAGCTCTCAATTTGTTGTAGACCAAACTATAAATTAATTCTATACAATAATTAATTTAAAAATCAAAAATTTAATATACCTTATTTGCTTATTTTTTAATTTCATAAAAAAGTGCTTATTTTTTTATGACATTAATTTATAAGTATACAATTTCAAAATAACTGAAAATATATTTTGGTCTATATTATTAAGTTTTTTTTTTCAATTCAACTATTATCATTGCCAATTGACAAAAGTTTTTATATTTAAACTTTTTATGAGGACCTTTATAAACATTTTCACAGAACATTGTTTTTTTACAGAAAATGTATAACAAAAAAGAACTTCACGTCAATGGAGTTAGATCACTTTTGGAATTCTATAACATTAAATAAAGATTCAAATAATTTGACATTCATATCCACAGTAGAAGCTAAAAATTATCCATTTGTAGGATTACAATTTCATCCAGAAAAAAATGCCTATGAATGGAAAAGAAATGACCCTCATAGTTGGTCAGCAATATATTCAGCACGTTATTTTTATGATTGGTTCATTAATGAATGTCGTAAAAACAAACATAGATATATTGATAATAATACGTTAGATAACGAATTAATTTATAATTATCCTATTACATACGTAGGAAAATTTAACAATACTTTTGAAGAAGTATACTTTTTTGATGAATAAAAATTGATTGTTTGTTTTAAGTATTATTTATTTATTATTTTTATAATTGATTGAAAACAAGCATATAATACAATAGATAATATTTTATACGTAAGCTATTATCATAATTAACAAAAAATGATTTAAAAATTATATTTTATATTTTTATATTTCAATAAAACTTATAGTTTATACCTATACATTTACATGAGTTTCAATAACATCAATGGTCAACCATTTTTTTTTAAGTTGATCTACCAAAAAATGTTTTACTATTCTGAATAGTTATTTTTTATCTAATGATTTGTATCTTCTTCAATCATGTACTAAATTGAATTAAATAAGTGTTTTCAGAAAAGTATAAAATTAAAATTAAATTAAGTATATAAACATTTTTAATCAAACGCAGTATTCTAATTAAAAAAAGGAGAATATTAAATTACATAAAAAAAAATAAATATAATGATTTAATACAGCTATGAATAATAAGTAATAATATAAATAATTATAATAATAAAAATTGTAATGTTATTATGGTATGATGCACAGTCTAAAATTAAGATACAATCATTGCCTGGTCATTAAATTAATGCAATTTTAAATTATAAGTAATTAATTTGATATTTAAAGGTTTCAATTATACTTTTGATTAAACTATTATAATTAAAAATATGGTCTAAAAAGCAAGATAAAAGAGCCAGTATATATATCATTAATAGTAGAGGTTCGTTGTATAGATCATAAATTATCATCATTTATACAATACTTAAACTAATATACAAAATATAAGTTTTAAAATACTTTAAAACTTATAATTTATTTTAACCATAAGAATTTTATTCAGTACATAAACTTGTTAACAACCAAAATGTATTTACCAGTTTTTTTTACTCTAATTTTGAGTTTTTTTACAAAACTAACCATTTGTAATGAAAGACCAGTGATTGGAATACTAGCACAAGAAGTTTATTGGTCTAGTTTTAAAAATTTAAGACCATCAAATTACACGTATATAGCTGCATCTTATGTTAAAGCAATTGAAGCTTCTGGAGGACGAGTTGTACCAGTTTTCACCAACAGAACTACTGAATATTACAAGTATGTAACAATAGCATAATTACATTTCATAAAATACAATTAACAATCACAAAATATTTTAGGAATGTAGTGAAAAAAGTGAATGGCATTTTGGTTCCTGGAGGAGAGAGTACATTTAATAATAGTTTTGGAATCAGTCGATCGACACATGAAATCTTTCGGATTGCAAAAAATGTAAATGATATAACATAAATAAAGATATTAATAGTTAAATACTTTAGTTTATGGTTAAATTTTTTTATTACTCATTAACTAAATTTTCTGTTTTTTAGATAAACATTGTTAACAATCATTAACAAACAGAATTTATTTAGAATTTGAATTATTTTTAATATTGCTGTTTTTAAATTTATCTTAAATTTTTTTTTATATCAATGACAACGGAGATCGATTTCCAATTCTTGGAATTTGTCTAGGATTTGAACTTCTTCTAGTTACATCTATAGACGGAAAAAATCCTCTAACAAACTGTAATGCTCAGGATATGTATTTACCTCTAAATCTAATACCAAAAATGGAAGAAAAAAGTGTGTTGTTCAAAAAAATGCCAAAGGATATCCAAAAAATATTACTTACAGAACCAGTTACAGCTAACTATCATAGGTATGAATTTATTCTATTACTAATTTTAAATATGTATAAGATACAATCAGAAAAATTTAAAAATATTATCAGTTATTATTATTGTTGGGAAATCTTTTTCATAATTTCATAGATAGATTTGGGGGAGAGGTAAAATTTAAATAGATCCCTATAACCCTATCCCTCAAGTGGAATTGTATGATCAACAACCTTTGATCGTTTAAAAATAAATTTGAGTATGTATCACTGTACTCTAAATAATGAAAGTCTAGCAAAAAATTAATAAATTTAAATCAAATATCCACCAATGATCTCTTTTATAATAATTAATATATAGTTCAGAAATGACAATTATTATTGATAGAAACCAACATTATTAAATGAGTTACATTTTGTATCTTGTAAATAATTCAATATTCATTAATTAACTGTAGAATATAAATAATTTACAATTCAGTAGGTAACGAATAGTATTTTTATAGTATATTAAATTTAATTTTAATAATATATTATCATAATTTAAAAACAATTAAATATGGATGAACAGTATTATAATTTTAGATCTGAATATATATTTTCAAGACACAAGTATAATAATGTTTTTACTACGAATATATTTTATTAGGAGAATGGTAAGCTTCCACAAATGTAATGTAATCCTCTACATAGACATAGTGTTAACTCCTATAAAAGATAGTGTTAACTTCTATAAAAGATGATAAAAAAGGATACTGCTTGAACCACTATAAAAATATATCAGTCCAACAATATATTAATACATAATATTATACAAAAGTATAAACTTAAAAGTTAAAACAAAAATCTTTGAATAATATAAAAATTGAATAAAACAATAGCCATAACTCATAATCATTAATGTTAATTTTATGAAATACTTTGGAGATAAACTCTAAATGTGAAATTTTTCTATATACATTTAATTTTTTGCGTAAGTATAAATTCATATTTTTAAATTGTTTTTGTTTGTCTGTGTTGTGTCAATACCATACTAATTACTATCGCCAATTTATTAACATTTTGTATTGCAAATGCCGATATAAACTTATAGTATATAATATGAATATAGCCAGCCTTCAAGAATCATCATACATCAAATAAACATGTTCAATTCAAGTGTTTGTATTTTTTAAATTTATTGTTTTCAAGTTATGATTATTTTTAACTTTTTGAGCTTTTCGACTCCAAAATTGTGAATTTAAATTATATCATCCTATTTTTTTCAAGTAAAAATATTCATGTAGGAGATTACAGTATCTTTAATTTACTGGTAAAAATGAAAAAAGGTTACCTATTCATGTAGGAATTAATATTTAGCCTTTTTTAAACCTAGCAATATATTACCAATTGGTTTCAATATTTTATACAATTTATAAAATATTATCTTCTTGAATACAAGTATATAACCATAAAAAAGATAACAAAACAAATTTAAAAAAAAAAATCAGATACTTTGAAAATTTTACATTCTTTCAATCTTGAGTCATAATAATATAATGAATACATGATTTCATTAAAATATTTATTGAAACATTTTAATAGGAGCTATCAAAATAATTTATTTTGTTTTTTACAGACAATGTTTAACAGAAAAGAACTTCACGTCAATGGAGTTAGATCGCTTTTGGAATTCCATAACAGTAAATAAAGATTCAAATAATTTAACATTCATATCCACAGTAGAAGCTAAAAATTATCCATTTGTGGGATTACAATATCATCCAGAAAAGAATTTCTATGAATGGGAAAGAAATGACCCTCATAGTTGGTCAGCAATACATTCAGCACGTTATTTTTATGATTGGTTCATTAATGAATGTCGTAAAAACAAGCATAGATATATTGATAATAATACGCTAGATAACGAATTAATTTATAATTATCCTACTTCATACATAGGAAAATTAAACTATGTTTTTGAACAAGTATACTTTTTTGATGGATAAGTATCAATTATATATTTAAAATATTATCATAGTTTTATAATTATAAATAATTTAGTAATTTAACATATTCTTTATTCCACTTTAAATTTATAACTATTTATGATAGCTATGATTTATTCTTTAATTCACTTTATGCATGAACAAAGTGTCTGATATATTAATAAAATACACATCAAAATATTAATTTGTGTTAATTCCATTTAAAACTAAAATAGATATGAAATAGTATATTAGTAATATCTGACTGTTATACTGATACATATAGAATAATATTCCACCACTTAAAATAGTTTGTCATATAAATTTATGATACTTATTATGTAATTAGGTACATTGTCTTAGATATTTATACATACATTCATACAGATTAAATAATTTAATTTAACTTACTCTTTTAAAAAATCGTATAGTCCTCGATCAAAACTTCTCCACATATCAGAATATAAATAAATCCGTGAAATGCATTTTGGTGGCTTGGGTGGTTCAAAAAATTCATCAAATCTTGCAATTGTAATCACAGTACCATAGATAAATGTGTACTTGATAAAAAAAAATTGTCCCATTCCAAAACCAAACCCACTAAGTGCTGAAATTCCAAAATGTTTAAAAACCTAAAAGAAAATAATAAAATTGTCAACACTAAATATATAATGTTATGATAAGATAAATAAAACATACTTTAATATTTTGTAAAAACATATTTATGTAAACATAATGTAACATAAATTCGACAAAAAACATCCAGAAAAAGTATCTAATCAAATTTATTGTAAGTTTAGACAAACGTTGACACAATGATTTTGTAGTAATATTTGTATTTGCATCCTGTTGTAAAAAAAAAAAAAAAAAAGATTGAAGTAATTAAAATAATCAATTTTTTAAATCCAATTACATTTATTTTTTTGTAAATAATTATTGGTCCAAAGAAAAAACATGGTAAGTAAAATGAATATGCTAAAAAGTGAAGACAATTCGGCAAAGTTTTACTTTTAGCTTTATCCAATGAGCCAAGTGAAAAACTTATGCAGCGTAGTTGATGCCAGTATATTGTCAAAAGTAATAAATATGCAATTTCTCCATCTGAACTAGGGTCAATAATAGTCTAAAAGCATACAAAAATTGTTAATAGATTTATAGTATAAATGTATAATTAACCATTTTTTAATTCTTTACTTACAAATAAAGAATCATTGTATGACCATACTCCTAATAGTAATATGCTTGTAATCCAAATAGAAATTTGATTACCAAATAATAATAAACAGTAATAAATCAAAGTCAAACCAAAAAATATGAAGACTGATAATAATCCAAAATTATAAGCAATACATAAGCTTGTAACAGTAATAAACCATACATCACGAATTATTGATATCTATATAAAACAAGAAAAAAGTTATTGTTTATAATTTGTCAATTCTTTGTAAAACATAAACTATAATAAAAAAAATACCTTTGAAAAATAATGTTGTGTTATTAGTAGAATTGATGAATGTAAAATAACCCATGGGCCTAATGAGTACATAAGAAATTCTGTCCATATTCTCCATTCTGGGCAAGTATCTTTTCTTCGACCAAGCCATGACCATCCAGGTACTAAGTCAGGTATTTCTGAATTCTTTAAACCTAATAAAATAAAAAAGAAAACGTATGTCTGTATGTTTTTTTTTAAACAGAATAAAAGATTAAATTGTATCTTTAAGTTCTTACTGGAGCTGATATCTAATAAATTATAAGCAGCATAAATTATGCCTAATGCCCAAATAACAGTATAGCAAACTATTTCGAAATGATACAATGGCACATACTGATTTTTCACCTTTTTCATTTTGAATATTGTAATATTTATTTAAATTAAATGATTAGTAATACCTAAAAATAATTAAAATTTGATAAGTATTAATTTACAATAAAAAAATAATGCATTATAATCATTAATCATTTTTATAAATAGTAAAATTTAAAATCTGATTATTGTTGAGTACCTAATAGAAAAAAGATAAATTGTGAAAAATGTGTTAATTTATTTTTACAACTATAAATAACAATCCTATAGTTAGTGAAGAAGTCTTCATGTTTTATTCACCATAATACTTCTTTTTACATTCCTCTTCATTGAACCAATTATATATCTAATGAATCAATTAATTGACAAATGAAACAAGCAAATGAGGACCCCCGCAACCTCAATATATAAATCACTTTAATTTATACTGTGGTTTTAATATTGTTATATCATTATACTGTATAAAATGGTATTTTTATGTATCCTATTTACTGTTATAAACTTGTTTGGTATGAGTCACAGGAAAAAAATTTAAAATAAAAGCCAGATTTGTATATTTTACTATTTTATAAGATTTTATTAAACACTAGTTCCAATTTTCTAATTAAAAATTTGGGTTATTAATTCAACTAGGTGTTCTAGTATATTAGAAATTACACATCATGAAATAAATAACAATAAATCAAAACAATTGTTTAAAAGATTAATGAAATATATTAAATAACATTTTTTCAATTCCACAATGTTTGTATTGAATGACTGGTCAATAGTCAAATGATAATTTAGTTAGTTAAATATAGTAAAAATAATTAAAAATTTGGTTAGTCAAATAAAGTTATTGATACCTAAAATTATTTAACTTATTTGATGTGGTATTCTAATTTAGGCTAGCTTATCTATCTGAAGTATTGCTTCATGGTTTTAACAGGTACTGGGTGTATTGCCGATTAAAAAAAAAAAAGGTTAGCTTAGTTAAATCAGCTACCACTTCTAAGTGTGTTACTTGTATAAAAGTCAAAATTTATGGATAAGTTTATACTGAATATATAGGTCTATCCTTCAGTCAAATTATTAGTAATTTCTTAATCATTCAAAGTTGATTTTTGAATGTTTAATAAATTTGGTTAAAAAATTGATTCTAAATTCTATTTTGTTGTTTCCATTTTTAACTATTCTGAACTTACCAAAAATATTTACTACCAAAACATAGAAGTACAAAATAATATGAATAATATGTACTAGTGGTGTCACTAATATCTAGATTCCAATACTATTCGGATAATCCAGATATCCAAAAATCCGGATTTTTGACATCTCTAATATATATATATATATATAAATAAAACAAAAAATAATTTTTAAATATTGTATAACTTTAGATAAATATGATTTTAATTGCAATTATTATTCATCTACATTTTTAATTAGAACTTATATTTAATAAAATCTAACATAATAATAAAATATATCAATTTGTTTTTTTTTCTCCTATTTTGTACCCATATGTAAAAATAAAAATGAAATGCGCTTAAAATTATCATAATATAATCTTGTTTTTCTAAACTTATTAAATACAATTAGTGAAGTTATTATAAGCTTGATAATGTTCAATTGTTTAACATTAGGTAATTATATAATAAGCCTTTATACTTCAACAAATATGTTAAATTCTTTTTCATTAGTTAAACTGTTATTTTTTTTATTTTTTATCAACACTGAGACTTTCTCCTCAGCATAGAACAATTACCAAATGCTGCCAAATCACACTATTTTGTAAGCTTATCCCCAGTTCCACATCTAATTATTAGTCTAACAATTACTATTATATCATAAATTTCAAAATTTAATACATCTGATATAAGTTGTCCAGATGATATGTTATACTATACATAAAATTTGTTCATGAAAAAATCATTGCACAAGGTCTTATAATTTTACAATACCAAATTAGTATATAATATAACATCAAGTGCGTGCATTAGACATTGATAATTTTAATTTAATAACAATACAATACATTATATGCACTAAGTAATATTATTTATGTTGTTATTGGTATGCTAATGTATAAATCAAAGCATAATATACCTATAGGCCCCTCATAAAAGTTGGATAATTTGATTGATGTAAAAGACTTTTACATACCCAGATTACAAATTACAGTGTATACAAATATAAATATTGAGTAAACTTTTGCGATAAACATTGTGACAATATTATAATTGTTATTTTATTAAATTAAACTAATCAAATTTATCATATAAGTATGGTCTACTTACAATATTCATTTTTAACATCATTTCCATTCAAAATAAAAACTAAATAGCATGGATATAAAAGTACATACCTATTATTATTCATTACCATTAAGAAGTATTTTAATAAGTTGCAATCCATCAAAGCAAAATATATCGATGGTAAAAAGCTTTATAAGTAGAAAAAAGTTTATTATCGAATTGTTTTGTTAATTAATAGTCAATTTTGTTAGATATATAAATATAAAAATCAAATTAAAATGAAAATGAATATTGAATTTTGTGATAATTTAAATTTGAACGATATATTAAAACACTCTAACAACTAACGATTAGGTAGTAATAGGTACTACACTACAGTCAACAAATACTGAAATTCCTAACTATTAACTAACAAATATTTAAATAGAAGTAACAAACTAATAACTGTAAATTGTTAACACTGAACTGTTAACTTATTCAAAAAAGGATAGTATAATATGCATTGTATGTATTCTGTGGTATCACATTGTAAACAAGATTCATACCAAAGTGGTAATGGTTACTCTTACTATAGGCGATTACAATCAAATGCTTTAAAATAATAATACTAGATGGCAGCCCATTTTTTTTTTGGTAAAAAATTATTATTATTTATTAGATTATATTATTTCACCATAGACCTAATACTATATAAATATATATAATAGACGTGATGGGCCATTCGGAGTGGTTGTGGGTGGGTGGTACGGGCTTTCCTAGCTGTGATAGTATGCGGTGTGTGTATTGATAAGGCGCACGGTTACAATGGTTGTACAATCCCATAGTTCCCGACTCGCGGCTGTGCGTATGTGTGGTGTACAGGTACCCTGTAATGCCCTTACGTGTGGACGCCGGAACTACTATTGTGTACCGTACTAGTGTACTACTGTCTATTAGTATAAGGATTAATAGGTCGATGATTTCCCCCAACACTCAATATTATTGTCGTCTGAAATTGTATTAAACTAATAAAAAAACCAATATTTTATGATTTTTGTAACTAGAGAAATTGTTGAAAAAAATATAAATAGGTAACTAGAGATAATAACTTAGAATAATAATTAACAGAAACGAAAACATTTACTATCGCGGTGTACAAGGCCACAAATACCCAATTCGAGACTAAATCGCACAGTGTAGTATAACTTAATATTTCGCTATACCAGTTGTGAAATTTTTGGAAAATACTAGTTTTGGGGAAAATAATTCTTGACATTATATAGTAATTACTAATTACTAATTAAATCTAAAGTCATTTTATTATTTTAATAAAGTATAATATGAGCAATATGAATAAAGTCAGTTTTTGTTTTTGATATATCCCATAAATTATACGATTATGTCGGTGTCCAGCACTACAAGAAGTTAAGATAAGATACTTAATACTATAATTTAACCATAATGAAACAATATAAATATAAATAACAAATAAATAATATAACAATAAATATAAATGTTAATGTTATTTTTATTTAGTTCTGAGCAACGAATAAAGTAATGTGTTGATTTTACAATAATAAGTATTTTTTTATTTTTGTATATCATTGCGTTTTACAGCAATTAAAATACTTCGATTTTCAACATTGAGGGTGGTTAGGTACTAGTTTTTAGCAAAAAATTCTATACGAATGATACTTAGGAGGAAAAAGTAAAAAAATTCCTTGTACTATTTGTAACTATTATTATTAGTTATTAATTATTATAAGTAACGGCACACTTTGGATAAATATTAAATGTTATCTACTTTGCAATTATAATTGGTTCATATATATATGTATGTATATAAAGTTCAACTTTTCGCGGCACACCCTTTGGGAAACACTGGTTTAAATTTCAATTCTTATTTGTATTATCAATATTACTTAGTTACTTAAATATTTAATAATTGATCTCATAGGCTTTTAATTATATTTTAATTTTAAAGCGAGTTATGTGTGTTTTAAGACGTGCAAGCAATTTACAATTTTAAAATACTCATAACTTGCTTTAAAATTAAAATATAATAAAAAGCCTATGAGATGCCCTAGATAATAATCTCACTTTTAAATTTCAAAAGAGGTCAATTCATTCTAATTTTCAAGCTGAAGGAGCTAAACGTGATCTTCTGAAAGTACTATTTGCCATGTTACGCATTTGTAAGACGGAGACAACATATGCGGGTACAACGTCCTCTTAACTAGTGGATGTATTCAAACCAAATAGTTTTTATTAAATATTGGTTCCATTTTTAAAAGTAGTCATCTGCTACTGGTGTGAAAATGTTTATTTAGGTGTTTGTATATTAATTAATAACTATTAAATAATAGTAAAATTCTAATAAGTATTATTTAGAGTTTAGACCTATATAATATCGTTTTTTTTTTTTGTTAATAATTAATGGTACAATATGTTTTGTACACTTGCTATTAATTTTCAATTAGTTTTTTACTTATCAAATACTTATTACAAATTTCAATATTATTATTTATCATTATTATTAATCCAAAATATTTTCGTTTCAAAGAAATTAGAAAAATTAAATAAATACTACGGCATTTTTTTTTTTAATCATGTCTAATAATATATCTAAATTGATCTTAAAATTTATTTTATTTTTTTTTAATTTGTTGTACAAGCAAGTGTTTATTTAAATACTTTTAAACTTTGTTATACATTTATAAGATTTTTACTCTTTTTGTGCATTTAAATCTCGGAAATAATGATCAGATATCTCAAAACCTAATAAATAGATTAGTATAAATAGACACGGGAACAAAATTGTATTTTTATATTTTAAAAATCTAACATTTTAGATTTTTTATTTTAAAAATATCTATATTAATATATTATTACTATATGTCCATATATATCATGTTTGTTTTTAGTAATTTAAAAAATTATCCCAACGTGCAATAACTAGTGTTATACTTATACAACAATAACCAAATATTAAAGGAGTTACATTGTATAATAATGATTTACAAGTTAACAACATACAAAATAAAAGCAAGGTGCCAGATACATATTTACTATAATGAAAATAGAAAAATAAATACATTTTGTTGTAAAAATATAGCATATTATTATAAATACTTTAAACTTAATAAGATTACAAACATTGAAAATTAGTGACGCTGTTTAAATTATACAAGACATGTGCAGAAGGTTGGTAGAAATGTAGAATATGAGTAGGTAGGTACTAGGTACAACAGTATCTCTTAAAGAAAAAAATCTCAACAATTCTAGGGAATACCTGAATATGATATTATTGATTAATAGATATTAAATATCATATAATACCTACTACTAAGAAGGCGAGGTCACTATTTTGAAATAAAAAGATTTTTCTATACTATAAAAATAATTGTACGCAAACTAATTGTGAAGCCAAAAATACATTTTATATGAAGGTCGCAAGCGAAGAGAAGATAATTTATTATTTCGTGAATTTAGCTGGTATCAATTATTATGTACGATTGTATTTATATTTATAAATATAATTGTAATAGAATTTGTTTTTAAGTTGTATTAAAATTTAAGAGTTTACTATAACTTTTAAAAGTAGTAAGTATATTGATATAGTAATAAATATTAGTAAGCTTCACATTTTAATGAAGATTACTTCTTAAATAGCCTTTAATTAAAGGAAAATATAGTTATATACTTAAATAGATACATGTACCTATAGTTTATAATCATTTTTTATATAATTTATCATTTTTTTTTTTAATTTTTATTATTTTTTTTGAAATTAAATCTTCAAATAAGTACCGAAGTAGCATATACCTAAAAATAAAAAAATAAAATTCGATTGAAAAAAAATATATCTAGTTAAACAATTTAATTTTAGACATTTCCGAGTATTAATGATTTATTCTAGTTGGTTATATATTATATTGGGAGATTCTTTAAATAGTAAATACTCAACATCTCAAAAAGTATTAATGTTTTAAAAATACATTGTATTTTAAAAATGTATACATTTTACATTTTTCCATTATTATTTTTCATGTTTTTTTCATTTTGAATAACAACTTATATTTTTATTGTCCAATTATCAATCAGAATATTTATGAAGTATTTTGTTTTATATAAATTAAATTTTGAATTAATATAATTATAACTTATACTATATACGTGTTTAGAATTTAGATTAGTAGAATATAGTTAATCACGATTTTACGAGGTACCTATTCTTGTGTTAATTCATTCATCTAATCAAAACTTAAATCCTACTTATAACATATTAAATTATTAAAATTAAATTTTTTAAATCGAAATTCTCGGTTAATTTTCACCGTTTAATGTATATATTATGTATATTGAAGTCAAATAATAGTAGAAGCTTACAAGTACGGCGATCGCAGATGGCGATGGTCAAGTCAGGTCAAATAATTAACCAGACGGAAACAAAATCTTAATCATTGTTGTAATAATGATATAGTAATCTGTTTTTAAATGTTAGTCACACCATAAAATTTAACTGGCCTCGTGAAAGTTTAAATGAGTGCAAGCGTCATACTAGTATACTATACCATTAAAAATTTTTATTTTTTTTTTATTTTTTTTACTGGTGGTTGATTTAAATACGTATACACTTAAACTGAAGAAAAAAAATTAATAAAAAATACCAAAAAAACGACTAGGAATATTACGTGTGGATTGTGTGGTTGACACTAATTCCAATATTTAGTGATTTCCTACTAATTAATAAATTTGCTATCAAACTAAAAATATATGAGATAAAATGATTAATTCCTAATCACATGATTTGGTGGTAACTCATAATTTTTCAGTCAGTAAAAAACTATTCCATGCAGTGGACTATATGAATATATAATACACAAAATTCGATACTTTAAAATTCAAAATATCACGGATCCGATATGCATGATAATATATTTTTACAATAATAATTTAAAAGTACCTATAATCAATACCATTTTAACTAAAAATCAACTAGAAATTTAAATATTTTAAAGTTAATGCATATTTTTTATTTTATTTTATTGAAAATAAAAATAAACTGCAGAAAAAGGATAAAATTAATACTAAAATCGATTCTCATACTCAAAATTGAGTACTGCTGCAGTATATTCGTTATATTAATTATTATTATAGTGACATCCACGTAAATAAATTAAAGATCATAATGTGGATTGCAATTTTTTTTAAATAAGTTGAATATAGTCATAAAGCAAGTGCGCAGTTGATAAATTATACTTAATAGCTTATTAAATATACTGACTCTCACAGTCTGTTGTCTGTAATTATACACAAGATATAATTTTCAATTGACTTACGTCTAAAATTAAACTCATCGTATATATATATATATATCCGTAGGTATAACAAAATTATAAACACGTTGGCCTCTAAACGAATACACCCACTAGATATTTTGTTCATACTTCTTCTACTTACGTACAAGTCTTCGTGCGTAGATATACTAATGTTATGCGTAAATAGAAAACGATAGCAGTCGTCAGTAGGTGTTAGACGTTAGTACAATTTGAACCTGCTTCAATGACTGCAGCATACAATTGAGTTAGATAATACTGTAACTGTATAAAATAAATCTGGGCATACGCACGCTCCTCTTACCTGCACGGTTGTGGTGAACTCGGCAACAGATATAATAATAATTTTTATAACCAATACAATATTTGGTCTTAATCGTCGTAATGATTTCAAGTGACATCATCAATTATCTGTTTGATTCTACAACGGTTGTCGGCATTACCGTTGCAGTATTGACGATCGTTTACTATTATTCGACTAACACGTACGGAAAATGGCGAGAACTAAAAGTGCCCCATGTGCCACCGTGGCCGTTGATCGGTAACACATTCAAAATGATAACAGCACTCGAACACCAGGTGGAAACATTCGACAGATTTTACAAACGATTCGCTGGCGAGAAATATTGTGGTTTCTATCAGATGAAGACGCCGTTCCTGATGATCCGCGACCCCGAGCTCATTAACGCCATACTGATCAAAGATTTCTCGAATTTCACCGACCGCGGTTTCCACAAGGACCCGTCGACAAACATATTAGCGAACGGACTGTTTTTTTTGGGCGGTCCCAAATGGAAAACAATGAGACAGAAACTGAGCCCGGGATTCACGTCTGGTAAATTAAAACTGACCCATGATCAGATAGTGGCGTGCAGCGAAGAGTTAATGCGATTCATCACGATCAAAATAAAGGAAAACGATCAGATCGAAGTCAAGGAGATCATGAGCAAATACTCGACAGACGTCATCGGAACATGTGCTTTCGGTTTGAAATTGGACACCGTCAAGAACAACGATTCGGATTTTCGTAAGTATGGAAAGCAAATAATTCAAACGAACTTCAGGATTCTTTTCACTCAGATGTTGTCGCTTACGTCGCCGAGATTAACAAAACTGTTGGGAATCTCTGAGTTTTCACCCGATGCTTCGGCGTTTTACGAGTCGGCATTAAACGAAGTCATCAAGTACAGAGAAGCGAATGGCATAGTCAGACATGACGTGGCGCAGAGCTTGATAGATGCCAGAAAACAATTGGTGTTGAACTCGACAGAAGAAAGTAAAATGAATACATATATTTTATTCTATTGATCATCTGATAATCCATTGCATTTGAATATTTTATTATATGTATAAAATATAATAATGCGCGTTAAAAGTTTTACCCTCAAGGCAGCGAATAATATTTTTAAAATAAAACTAAATAACTAAATAACTAAAATCTTTATACTTGTTTAAATATCTAATTTTGTCCAAATTTAAAATTAAAATATCTATAAAAAAATCTGTGTTTAAATTGTTTGTAGAGCGCTTGGTAACATGATAAATTCATGAAGAACCTTATAGTAAATTATTAAGCCTTATAGCTATAAAAATTAAAGATTTTATATATTTTTAAATACAAAATAGTTTGCAAAATTTGAACTTCAATATTCGAAAAAAAATCGTAGAAAACACAGATTATGTCTGTAGAATGACTAAAAAGCGTAAGATTTATTGCGTCTTACACATTTTCCTTGAGTATATTCATACTCGTATGAATATTGTTTAATATCCACAGTGCAATAATAGTTTATTATTTTTCTAAATTTTACGAACGTCAGTGAAATATTTTTTTACACTTTAAAAGTTTGAAAAATATAAAAAGAAAATATCCCAAAGAAAAGGCATATTTTAATAGGTTATTACTTATTATATTTGATCTACTTGGAGAACCTATTGATTTTGTAGCTTATCATTTTTGGTTGGATATTATGTACCTAATGAAATTATATTTCTCTGCATACTATTGTAAAAAACACAGTGTTTTGATCTTTATTTATTATTTTTTGCAGATGAATTTACCGAACAGGACATAGTCGCAAATGCGATCCTGTTGTTTCTTACTGGTTTTGAACCCGTGTCTTCCACGTTGAGTTTTTGTTTGTATCAGTTAGCGCTAAACCAACACATTCAGAACAGAATGCGTGACGAGATGAATTCAAAGTTGAAGGAATACGGACAAATGAACAATGATTTTCTGGTAGATCTTCATTACACCGATATGGTATTGGCAGGTGAATATTACAATTTGCGATTGTATTATAAATATACATTATATAGTCTTGGATAGGTTAAATTTGTTAGCCATTGTTTCGAAATCTTATATGAAGTACAATAAATATATAATGTTTTCAAACCGTCGAAATAATATATTTTAGAAACAGGACGTATGTATGGAGTAACTAGCGCGTTATTCAGAGAAGCAGTGAAAACATACACAATTCCTGGAGAGTCTTTGGTTATTGAAAAGGGGACCAAGGTTATGATACCCATACATAGTATTCATCACGATCCAAAATATTACCCCGATCCGTACACATTTGACCCAGAAAGGTTTTCTCCAGAAGAAAAGTCTAAACGACCGTCTGCTACTTACTTACCGTTTGGCGACGGACCACGGTTTTGTATAGGTAAATATATTTAATAATAAAATGCATGTAAGCATGTTGTGATTAAATTTCAAATATTTTATAGTTATTATTGCATATATTTAATTTTATGTCATTAAATAGGAAAACGATTTGCTGAATTGGAAATGAAAATGGTTCTTTCACAACTATTGACGACGTTTCGAGTTTTGCCGTGTGAAAAAACTGAATATCCACTTAAATTTCAAAACGGATTACTCATATTGACCACAAAAAATGGAATTTGGTTACGTTTTCAATCAATTTCAACATGATTATTGGTGCTTATACACGAATTACAAATTATACGCTCAATTAATTATATTATTACTATAAGTCAACAAAATAATCATTTTGATTATTATAATAGTATACGCAATAAGTAATTTTCAATATTTAAACTTTAAAAAATACCTAAAATAATTAAAATAAATTTTATTCATTTTTATTAATAGCAATTATGAGTGTAAGATGTACCAATATGCAATTGCAAGTGACATTCTCTATAATGCCTAGTTATATGTTATACACTTATACATTATATAATATATAGTACTTCAGACATAATATTATATTATAATAACTCAATAATCTCAATGTGCTAAATAAATTCACAATAGTTGTTTTAAAATTTAATAAAAAAGTGAATATTATAGAATATTTACACACCACATACCCTTGTATTTATTTTGAAAGGACTTTAAAAGTTCCTTTTTCTGTTTATAAAACTTATAACTTATAACTTATAACAATCATGTCACCATCGCTAAATTTTTAGATAAATCTTTATCTAAATATAGTTCATGGCTTCAATAAATAAAGCATGACAATATTTTGTTGTTCTTAATTGAAGCCGCTCTCTATATGATGAAAAATAGCAATGATATAAAATCAAATCCATGTATTCCAAAATATAAAATGTAAGTCGTTTGGTTCATGAATTATATAGAGTTGCGGAAGAGATTCGAAAAACGTAAAAACTTTCTAAAAATAAATCAATTAATTGATACTAACTTAATTGAATTAATTGATATTACTAATTGGCCCATATTTCTTGTAACAATGTGGTTTAGCACAAAAAATATTCACATTGCCTCCCCTATAAACACCCCTGTAAAAAAAAAAATTATGAACATAACATTTTTTTAAAAATCTTAAATCAATATTATAAATTATCACAGTAAAAATAGATGATATAAATATCATGTAAAATTTAAATTAAATTGGTCATTAAATAGATAATATAGTGTTAGGTATTTTATGTGTCTATATATTATTAATTTAAATATATCCAATTTTTCATTAATTCGTTTATTTATTGTTTTAATTACAAATTATCTATGATTTTTTTACAAAAAGTTAGTGTCTTAAAATTTTATAAGCTTATTTATTTATTTTTTTTTTTTTAACGATTTAGTCGTTGACTTTTTTATTAAAAGATTGGGCCACATTAATACTTTTAACTTATTACTATCACCATTTATATTTGAAAATGTTAATAGTTAGCAGTCTTTCGTGCACAAATAATTTATTGAGACTAACATTTAAGTAATCTTTTTCTAAAGGATATGAAGCTAAACTAATACTTAAAAAAGAACTTTTATATTGTAATTAAATGTATTTTTGTATATTATACGATAAAGTCTTATAACTATACATAATATCATATACATATTAGAAAACAAATCTTTCTGTGCCACTTTTCAGATAAAATTCTAGCCAAAACCCCCTAAGATTTTAAGTATATAGTTTTTCCATTGTATAATACGTATATTCTAATCAAAAATTACTAAGTATATTTTATAACACCGCGTGGTATGTTGCTAACCCCATATTTAAATGAAGTTATCCTTATTTTCTTGTATATTAAAAGTTGTAAACAGCCATGCCGGGATAAATTTAATTTAATTTATATTTTTATTATTGTTTATTAATGACAATTTAAATTTACAATAATTTTATGAGTTTATTATAATATGTATAATAGGCCTAAATAATAGAGATATAAATAAATATATTTTTTTTTATAATATCATAAAAGTTAGCTTAAATTTTATAAATTGACATGGTTAAGCTCGGTGGCCCTATAAATCCTACGAACCAGTAGGATTATTTTTATTGGCCCATCTAACTTGTTTTCCTCTGATGGTTTCGTTTACCGAGAGAATATGATTGCGTAGTACGTAGGTACATACCAAAACGCGTTGTATTCCACCACAATCACTCAAGTTCTCACTCGTTGGTATCAGTTATACGCGCGAAGTAATCAAGTACTTTCAGCAAATGAATTTTATAACTAAGCACGGCTTCAAATGCATCTTATGAAATATTACAACTATTGAGAAGATTGATACATATTCGATGAAATATATCAACACAATTAGTTCAATTTATAACTATAATAATAAATAATATTTCACTTTAATTAAAACGCAAAAATATGTAAAATAAATACTTCCTCTAATGATGTAAGTAGGTAAAAAACTTACGAGACAGACATCGATTTATAATTGATTATTACTTATTGGGTAAGCGCCAAATAAACTTAATAAATTAATAATTATGCGTTTATCTTAAGATACTATTTTAAAATTAATTCAAATTATATTTTATTTTTTAAACATATAATGTCATTAGTTAGTTTATTATTGTGTTAATATGTTGGAACTAATAATAATTAAAAATCGTGTTAAGTTATTTTTAAAAATGACTAGTTTAAGTATTTACTTATAGTTTTTAAAATGAACTACCTAGTTAAAATTCTAATATTTCTAAGTTATTAAGAAATTTTGAAAAGCTGTTTTATGAAAATTCCTGAAAGTAGCTTCAACTGATGATATTTTATTAATTGAAACAGCAGATTATATAAGTTTGAACATAATAATATATGCCTGAAAGTGGTTACAATACAATATAATTATAAAATAACTAATTAAACAATTGAAGTACTGTTTAATATCATGACAATATTATTATACACGTAGACTAAAAGGGCTTGGGTTCTGACTTTTGAATTTCTGACTACCAATTTAATAAGACAAAATATGTTTTGTTAACTGCCTAATGGCTAATACAAGTATGAAGTATAGATTTAACAATTAAGACAAATGGTGAATTCGTGTAATAGTTTAATATTGTTATGTTTATGCAAATAATAAAAATACTTAAGTCCCTCGTCATAAAAACAGAGAGGCTTATTATATTTTACTGTATTATTAGATTACATATTTGTAAACCACAGCTATAAATGATAGTCACATTATGAACGTATAAAATAATGTATTAATGTAATATATTATTGTATTATATTTAAGACATTATCATTAATGAAATTAAAATAATTTAATCTACCCATGAAGGCAATTTACAAACCAAGTAAACACTAAACAGTAAACAAATGGAATGTTTCTTATTACACAAATATTTAAATTTTATACGTAATAGGTTCGTAGTTGTTAATTTTATAATTTTTAGACAACACAAAAAAACAATGCGCATAGTTATCATCATAATTGATTTTATATTATATTTTATTAAATCGTAAAAAACAAAATACTCAATTTAACGTGAGTAGAATAGGCTGATTGGAAACTCTCCAGATTTTAAAGACCTATAAGCTTTCCTGATGGTAAATTTTTTTTTGGTCTATTTCAGTACTACCTAAAGGGAACATGAAAAGTCTACAATAACTTAATTTATATAATTATACATTATAATTGTATCATTATATATTTATGTTTATAATAATATGAACATAAATATTTAAAAAAAACTTAGGGTGTCTATTTTAGATTTTGAGCAGAGCGATGAATGTATTTTGGTCTTTAAAGTCTATAATATTTGCGATATATTTCTTTTTTATTACTTTTAGCATAAGAATTTTTATTTACTATGTTTTATTTATGGTAACTTTGAATTTTTGTATACACTTTGGTTTTAAAACCTTATAATGCATCAATAATTATAAAATAGAGGTAGGTAAACGAGTAGAAAAATATGAATTGAAATGCGAATGAATGATTCACAAGAGTGTTAGCTGTTTTTCAAGTTGACGATGAATGACGATGCTGAAGCCTACGTTGCAATGTGGAAAATATGATACATCTTTATCAATATACGTTTAAACCAAGTACAAAGCAAATGTTTCCAATTTTTTTGTTTGATGAAGACATTATTGCAGTTAATATTATAAGTGAATACATGAAAATTCCAAATTTCTTTTGAATTTTTGAAAACTAACCCAAAAATATAATGCAGCTATTTTTTTGGAACATTTCAAATTTAAAAAATTGGTATGAATAACTTTAATTTATTAGTCTGTAAATTTTCTTAAATCGCATTGTATATAGGAAATTATTATATGTATAACATTTTTTGAATCGCAATTAATTTGTGCTTCAAACTTAAAAAAAAATATTTCAATAATAGTTTAATAGTAATTTCATAAATTGTTGATAGTTTTAAATTGGTATAAGAAGAACATGTAATGAACATTGTATTAATTTGCCAAACTTTTTGACCTACAAACAAAAATTAGTACTAGCGCCAAGTCAATGTACAACGCATCACATTAGTCATTAATGTATATAATAATAAAATATTCACTACAATCTCACGGGCTCCTGGTATAGTGTTATTTATACACCTTGACGACTATATCTAGTGATTTCTTCACTTCGTATTATTTATGAAGAGCCACATGCAATCGTATAATTGATTAGAATTCGAAAAATGGTACAAAAGACAAAAATAGGGAGTAAAAAATGAAGCGTTTACGCACGTTTAGTCGACTCTCGCCACTTTTTAACATATCGCTATTCAATAATTTAATTTTTCTGTTTAAGGAGGCTCTATCTTCTATATGCCCTTCAGCCATCTGCAAGTTTCATGTTACGCCATTACCCTCTGAAGAAATAATATGAACTTATGATTCAATAAATATTACCAAGATATTACCTGATGACTTAAGCGGTATAAAATAAATTGCTTAACTACAATAATATAAAACAAGTATAAAAATACAAAATGTTATAAAACATATTATTTTTTAGATAATTTGTAATAAATTCATAAACATTAAAAAATATAGATATTTTATCAGACGCTTAATATTTTGACATTTAAGGAACGTGTAATTACCATTTATAAATTGACAATTAATTTCAAAATACATGCACCTTTGTGTGTTAACTACATTTTATAGTTTTCCGTCATCATTCTGCACGAGATTAGTGAGTATCGACCGTTGTAAATTAATTATTATTTTGAATGTTAACCATTAATATTTTTTTATTATTAAAAAAAAAAATGAAGAAAATAATGCATTTTAAATAGTGTTTGAACGACTAAACCATTTACATAAAAAATAC